GCGGGTCATTTCCAGAAGGTTCCACTGGATCTTGGAGGGATGTTCTTCCTTAAGGCCCAGGCATTTCAGCCTTAAGTGTGAGGTCCCCACTCACTCTGCTGTTCTCTTTAAAGGAGTTATTTGGCCTGCGTCACAGCCTGGCAGCCTCTCAAAATTCCCAACTTCTCCCAAAGTACTGACACTGAACCAAAAACAAAGAAAAGCAGCCCAGTTCCACAAACATGAAATTACAGATTCACTGAGACGGTATTTTGTAATGATGATATTTTACTGAGGCCAAGTGCGGTGGTTCGCTCCTGTCATCTCGAACTGTGGGAGGCTGAAGCAGATGGATCACTTGAGTCAGGGGGTTAGAGACCAGTGGGCAACATGGTGAAACGCTGTCTCTACAAAAAGCACACAGAAAAATGATCTGGGCATGATGGTGCACACCTATAGTCCCAGCTACTCGGGAGCTGTTCCATTCCAACTGGATGGAACACATTCAGCTATTGGTTTGGAGCTTCGAAGCTTTGGGGGCTAAGGAAGTATGTCTTCCAACAACACCTAGACTCAGAAAAAACATGGTTAAAAACAAAAGATGTTGGGAGCCCTGTCTCCCCATGGAACATCTGGGCTCCCCATTCCCTAGCCTCCCCCATCCCTCCCCATCTCCTGGCCTCCCCCATCCCTCCCCATCTCCTGTCCTCCCCATCCCTCCCCATCTCCTGGCCTCCCCCATCCCTCCCCATCTCCTGGCCTCCCCATCCCTCCCCATCCCCTAGCCTCCCTTATCCCTCCCCATCTCCTAGCTTTCCCATCCCTCCCCATTTCCTAGGAGTAATTTTTTTCTTATCTCCCCTAACTATGATCTTAATTGTTAATTTTTTCTCTTAGAATACAGCATGAATATTTTTATAACCTCTGTACCACACAACGCTAGTTATATGGAAAATACAAACCACATTTGAAGTGATTTAACATTGGTTATAAGGCAGTTCCACAGTTATTATTCCCCAGAAACCTGTACACTGATCTTCAATCCAGCAATCTTACTCCTGGGCATTTATTCCCGAGAAATGAAAATTTATAGACACAAAAATACTCATACAAAAATATTCATAGACACTTTGATTCAGAATAGCTGCAAACCGGAAAAAATAAATAAAATTGTCCTTCAATGGGTAAATGCCTAACTAAACCATAGCATATCCACATAATAGTCTCGGCAATGGAAAAGATGAACTATTGACAGACTCAACAACTTGGATGCATCTCCAGGGTGTTATGCCAAGTGGAAAGAACAATTTCAAACAGTGACACTTGGTATCTGGATGTGGGGCAGATACACAGACAAATACAATGATGTACCACCATTGTATAGAGTCTCACATACACACAGAGAGAGAGTATGAATGAAATCTGAATAAGACCGGGGGATTGTATCAAAGCCACTTCTAACTGTGATATGGTACAATAGTTTTTCAAACTGTTACCGCTGGGGGAAACCGGACCAAGTATAAGAGATCTCTCTGGATGATTTTTATAACTGCATGTAAATCTACCATCTCAGTAAAAGTTGATTTTATGTGATCTACTATCTCAATAAAAGGTTCCATTAAAAAAAAAAATCATGGTTTTGGGAGGCCGAAGTGGGCAGATCACCTGAGGTCAGGAGTTTCAGACCAGGCTGGCCAACATGGTGAGACCCCATCTCTACTAAAAATACAAAAATCAGCTGGATATGATGGCACATGCTTGTAATCCCAGCTACTTGGGAGGCTGAGGCAGGAGAATCACTTGAACCTGGGAGGTGGAGGTTGCAGTGAGCCAAGATTGTGCCATTGCACTCCAGCCTGGGCGACAGGGTGAGACTCTGTCTCAAAAAAACCAAAAAAAAAACAAAAAAACAAAAAACCATGGTTAACATGTAAATAATAATACCTTGATAGACAAATATACCATATACTTTTAAGTTACAGAATGTATGATTTCATTTTATGTAACATTTTTGAAATGATAAAATTATAGAGGTAAAGAGCAGATGGTGATTGCCTGAGGCTAGAGAATGGGGGAGGGAAGGAGGAGGCTCGGGAACGGGGAGGGATGGGGGAGGCTCGGGGACGGAGGATAGATGGGGGAGGCTGGGAGATGGGGAGGAGTCAGGGAGGCTAGGGGATGGGCGAGGGAAGGGGGAGGCTCGGGGATGGGGAGGGACGGGGAGGCTGGGAAAGGGGGAGGGGGAGAGCAGGCTAGGGGATGGGGAGGGGTCAGGGAGGCTAGGGACTGGAATAGGGATGGGTACAACCGCATGGGAGTAACTTGAGGGTAATTCTTTGAGGAAAGGTGTCAGTTCTGTATCTTGATTGCGGTGGTTCCACTAATTTATACATGGAATAAAATTACATATGGCTTGGGACAGTGGCTCACTCCTGTAATCCCAGCACTTTGAGAGGCCAAAGTAGCAGATCACTGGAACTCAGGAATTCAAGACCAGCCTGGGCAACATGGCGAAACCCTGTCCATCTTTAGAAAATACAAAAATTAGGCCGGTGTGGTGGTGTGTGCCTGTAGTCCCAGCTACTTGGGAGACTGAGGCAGTAGGATCATTTGAGCCTGGGAAGTGGAGATTGCAGTGAGTTAAGATTGCACCATCGCACTCTAGCCTGGGTGACAGAGTGAGACTGTCTCAAAAAATAAATAAATAAAAGTAAAAAAAAATAACCTAGCTTTAAAAAAAGAAAAACTGCATAAAACCACACACACCAATGTGTGTGTGAAGACGGGAAATCTGAGTCCTCTGCAGACCGGTTCACAGCAGTGATCACTGTCAATTTCCTGGCCTCGTTATTGCGCTAAGTTGCTCCCGTTAGAGGAAGCTGGGAAAAGAGTTCATGGGATTTCCCTTGTACCCGGCAATTTGCTGTGAGTCTACTATTTCAAAAAAAATTTTTTAATCACTTTGCCTACCATGTCTAATAGCTCTGAAACACAGGGTCAACTTTCCATTTCTTGATTCCAGTCCAAGAAAACCTAAAATAAAAAGTTAAAATATTCAGTATTGTGTACTTACATACAAAGATTACATAAGTATGTTCACCTTTTCTATCTGACCCTAGGGACTTTTGCTCAGAGCAGACTATTCATGACTTTTATCACTAACAAGAAACTTCTTTATAAAATTCAACAGCACTTAAACACTGGACTCGGAGAATTCAAACATTTAGAAAACTAAATTGGCGAAAATAAATAAATAAAGTCACATGGCCCGATCACATTAGGTTGAACCACATGCAGTAACTAACGTTTGGCAGTTTTTGACCTACAGAAGCCATGGTTTTGTATGGTTCGACTGCGACGATGTTCCTTTTGAGGACTTCCAGGCTACGTCACAGGAAGAACAAGGAGGCAGGTTTGGGATCAGGCAGGTCTGGGTATAGGGTTCTAACTTCACGAGTTACCCACACTGTGGCCTGGAGCAAGCTGCCTGCCCTCACTACTTTTCTCACGTGAGGAGGACAAGATGACCCACCTCGGAGAGTCTGGGTGGTCTGTAGTGCCTGTTTAGCAGCAACGCCCACTACACACACATGGTAGGATGCATGTCCTGGCCCCTGTGGTTAGCTGGGGTGGGGGACTGGGCCTCCCTCGTGAGTTGGGAGCAGCTGCCTCCACCTGGGAACCCTCCAGCTAAGAGAGGGGACGTTCTCGGCTCCACTGGAAGCAGGCTTGTGGGGGAGGGGAGGCCCCGGCCAGCTCTTTCCAGGCAGCCCAGGGCCACTTCCACATAATTCTGATGATTCCACCACCACACAGGCAAGGTCACTCATCCCAGTCACGCCAGAACGAGGACCCCTGTGAGGATACTCTCACCAGTTGTACAACCTGATGGGGAAGAAGCCAGTGGCCAGGCTGTCTCCCCCTCTCTATGGGAGCTTGTGTCTAATACTTGTGAAAAGTCTGTATTCAGACTGTGTCCTTGTGAGTTTTCCATTGCATTGCATGGCTCTTAGCAGAGCAAATCACTAGGTGGTAATTTGCACTCTGGAAATAAACATGGGGGCACTGATGACTCGAATGTGCATGTTAACACCACCGTTTCTCTGCAAGGAAAGACAGAAAGGCTGAAAGGCTGCCTTTGTGTACGAGAACCACACAGGTCTGGCACACACAAGGATGTGCTCACAGTTGGCCAAATGTAAAATGAATGAATCCTACTTCCTGGCAGGAGAATTCGTTGCTGCCAGATGCTATTTAAAATACGGCAAAAATATCCGAGTCTTGGTCCTCACAGGTCAGATCCTCAGAAGACTGGATATGTAAGGTATTTCCAAACTTAAAAATGACCTAGCAGGCCGGGCACAGTGGCTCACGCCTGTAATCCCAGCACTTTGGAAGGCTCAGGCAGGTAGATCATTTGAGGCCAAGAGTTTGAGACCAGCCTGGCCAACATGGCGAAACCCCGCCTCTACTAAAAATACAAAAATTAGCCCGGTCTGGTGGTGGACACCTGTAATCTCAGCTATTTGGGAGGCTGAGGCAGAAGAATCACGTGAACCTGGGAGGTGGAAGCTGCAGTGAGCTGAGATCTCACCACTGCACTCCAGCCTGGGTGACAGAGTGAGACATCTTCTCAAAAAAAAAAAAAAAAAAAAAAAAAAAAAAGACCCAGCAAATTAGAATACATCATTTAACATTTAATCAGCAGATCAGTAAGGGATCGTTTCAGACCACAGCAAGAAACGCCTGCCAAAGTATTTGCCTCTCTCTAGCTATTGATCCTTTTTGTGCCTGTTCTCTCTTGATCTAAGCTTTAGAAAAAATGCTACATGCACCCTCTTTGTTGCAGCTCAATATCACAGGGAACATTTCAAATAACCCAAACACTTTATGGGAGTTTCTCAGGCCGGACCTGAGAGGAATCAAGATGTGGCTGACAGCAGGAATTGCGAGCATTCTCAAAGTATACAAACTGCACCACCTTCCCTATCAGGCAGTGGGGGCAGAAGGCCAGCAACTGAAAAACACGGGTCACAGCACCTTTTATTCATCATCATACAAACTGATGGGACACGAAACACACCCAACATCTCCAAACCGTCTCAATGCCTCAAAATCCAACGGGAAAGTCCGAGATGCTGCCTTTAGCGGGGAAGCCACGCGCCTTCCGCCTTTGGATGCTGCTGATGGGAACGGTAGAGGAATGGGAGGTCTGCCTTCTGCACTGGGCCCTCCAGCGCCATTCCACGCTGGGCACGGTGAGCGGCACTTGGCACAGAACGTTTTCCTGAGAACACATCACACACTAGAGCATTCCGGAGGCCCGGGCCCCTTCTCAACCCGGAGACCGGGATTCACCGGGAGTGGCCGCACCTGTGGCCTGTCTGCAAGACTCCCGCCAGTGGAAGGCACTGCCCACAGCTCACAGAGCCACAGGTCCAAAACCAACCCTCCACTAAGATGGGCCCACAGAGCCTGGCGGCCACAGTGGCTGGATCTAACGTCTTCCTTTATGGACACATCTGTGCACCTTGGATCAGTTAGAAAAACAAAATACTTCCTGTCATGATGATCAGTATGCAGAACCACGTACAGCTGAGGACTCTTCTGGCTGGGTGGCACTTGGCTGTTGTATTTTGCTATCTGGGTTCTTTTACGCAAATCTGTACCGGCTGCTTTAAGACAACCCACTTTGCCTCGGACAGGGACCCTATCTTACAGAAAACTTGGGATTTTGATTTTTCTTTAGAATTCTCACTTATAACAAGTATGAGGTGTCTGTGTATTGAGATAAACCGTGGTATACACCACGCAATCTAAATTAGGTTCCGTAAAAACATTTGATGCGGTCTTACTCTAGGCACTAAAACAACTTCTTTAAAAAAATAAAACTGTGATTTCCAAGGCCTTTATTTTATAGGGAACAGGAATAAAAGATCAATGCTAGTGGATGGTTCATCATGAGCCCAAGGCCTTCTGGGAGTCTCTGCGAGGTCATCTGCCCTTTAGATTGGGCAAAGGCAAAAAGAAATCGATATTGATTTTAAAAAATATATCTTAGGAGCCCTGGTCTCCTGCTGATGCCATGGACGTCTGGACCACTTGTATCTGGAGGATGGAGACAATTTCACCCCGAGCCCAATTCATTTGACGAAACTACTATGTATAAAACAGTTAATTATATACATAAATAACATAATTCTCATAAATTAAAAGTCAAATGATCTCCCACTATAAATTCAAACGAGAGGTGAGAGCTGGGCACGAGTGATGGTGGGTGAGGAGGTGAGCCTTGCAGAGCCTTCTGCATGCCGCCTGGGGAGAACCTTCCCTTAGCTCATGAAGGCATATATTGCACAAAACAAATTCCAGCCCCATCTTCAAAAGTCTGCTGTTTGGAGTGCGGTGAAGTGCTGAGAAGGCTGCACTTTGGAAAACGCAACCATCCTTTGCTTTGCTGGCATCACTGGGACTGCTCGCGTCAATCAGAGCCATGTCAGTGGGTCTCCAAGATGGACCCCCGTGAGTACAGGATCTGGGACAACTGGCAAAGACGGGCACATTAAGGCAGGTGTATCCTCTCGCTGTGATCAGTGTTAAAAAGAGTACCAGGAAAGTTAAGAGCAAACCTCTCCCCACACCTCTCAGTGTTTCTGTGGTGGGTAGCAGGAGCGCTGGCTGCCACCCTGCCCCTGGCCCCTGCCCCGGAAACTGGTACACAACATGACAGCACGTGTCCCCGCACAGGCAGACCTGGCTGTTAGCCACACATTCAGTTTTAGGGGCAATTCATGCTTCTATTAGTGAACTAACCTCTCTGCTTTCATTAGCTCTGACAGGAAATAGCATTTTCTCTGTGTTTCAGAAATACCTACACTTTTCCACTGTAAAGAGCCAAACTCCTTTGATATTTTTATAGGAAACCAACCTTTGGAATTAAAGTTTAAACAGAAGGAAAACATGAATTTTCCCCCGTTTCTTCCACTCAGGGGATTCTGGCTGGGCTTCAGCCAGAATGAACACATTTGGATTGTAGAGATCCTGAGACAAGCCGGAGGAGCCGCTGGGGGCAGCAGGGAGGCTCACTCCTCACCACAGCGTGCGACCCCTGCATCTGGGCAGCTGTGGAGGGCGGACAGGGACCGACGGTCCTACAGTGCACACGACTTTATCATGTTAACATAAAACTAAAACATAATGTTGGCCGTAACAGTCTTGAATACATAATGTATGTTTGAAATAAAGTTTTAAAAAAAGGAAAAAACTCTACTGGAAATCGACTCACGGATAATGCTAAGTTGTCTTTTGAGCCAGAGTCCGTGACCTCACGTGACCCCTTGCCCATGATGACCTTGAAGGCTGGAGGATCACGTATGGCTCAGCACGCCTCACATGTGGTTTCAGCCCATAGTTGTATAAGAACCGACTCAACTCAAGAGTTCAAAGAGAATAAATGTTACTTTAACTCCTATCTGTGCACTTGCAAAACCATCCAGAAGCGAGGACAAAACGTTCCCTGCTGCCTGTTGCCACCTGTGAATACTGTCTGTGTCCTCATACAGGAACTAAGTTCTAAAGGAAAAAAAAATGAACCGTTTGTGTTCCTAACAACTTATCTCCTGCCTCTGACAATCCTGCTTCACTTTCCCAAACCGTGTGTCAAGCGCACACTGGTTCTGTAAGGGGCAGCGGCTGGAGCCCCGGCCCAGGACTTACTGCCTTGGTAAGGCATAGTGTGGAACCTCATCTAGTTTAAAACGCCTGCCTGCCAGAAGTCACTTCTAGAGTTAGGCCGACAGACCATAATGGTGGCTGGGAGGGATGTGGAGATATTCTGCAAAGCTAAGTCAGCCTTACATTGCAATGCATGACTTTGTTTGTTTGGTTGGTATCCAGCAAACAAATCTAAACAGAAAACACCCCTCTGCAGTCCCCGCCCCGAGTCTCGCTAAGGCAGCTCAGTAGCTGTACATCTGCTGCTGCTGCTCCGCCTGCACCTGGGGCGGGGCTGCCTGCTGCGGGGGCGCCTGCGGCTGTGGGGGCGGCAGGACGTCAGTCTGGGGCACTGCCCGCCATGTCAGTGGGTGCTGGTCACTGAGCTGGCTCCCCAGGGGCGTGATGGAGTTGACCAGGGTGGTCAGATTGATGAAGTGGGCCACGGACTGTGGGTTCGAGGCTTCAGGCTGGGGGTGGATCTGGACATCATTTTGGCGGTTGTGCAACATGGTAGAGCCACTGACGGTGTCAAAGGTCACCGTCAGGATTGAGTTGTCCAGCTGTAACTGGCGCTCAGGGGTGGTAAGGTGCCCCACGGCCACCGGCTGGAGATTGGTAAACTGAGTCCCAGCTGCAGTGGTGATGGGGGTCACGGTGATGTTGGTCAAGCCGACTGAGCTGGATGGTGTGGTCACATTTGGGTCGCCCAGGGTCACCACTACCTGGAAGAGTCACACACAGCAAAAATCAGTTCATTATTTCTGTGAAACGGAGAACACGGGGTGAGTTCTGTTACCCGCTGGAATAACCACACGCCGGCCCCAGGAACAGGAAGCACGACATTCTTTGGTGAAAGAGGAAACAAAATTAATTTTGTCCTGGAAAAATTCCAACAGAAAAGAAAAACAAGAAACACATACAATCATGAAGGCAATGAGAAACATATTAATTTCACTTGGCTAGAAAAAAAAAAAAAAAGTAAGCATGAAAAGACAGAAAACAGATTCTTTCTTTTCTACTCAATGCTCTAAAGTGCCCTGCTGTTGGTAAATGAAAATCCCACTGCAAAACTAAAAAGAACAACAAAAATATTTGCAGTGCCAATGGCTAATAAGAGAACGCATTCTCTTTCATGGAGAGCGATCAAAGGCCAAATAAATGAGGAACTTTTGCAATCAAGATGACCATCCCCCAAAACAAGAGAGAGCAGTGCAGTCTGAGACAGACCGAACACACACTCAGACGCTTCAGAAGCAACAGTGATGCAGGCTGAGCAGGACGGAAGGTTCCGGTCAGGACAGTGGGACTGCGGGCCAGTCCCATCCTTGCCTCCCGCTTCCACATTGAGGCATCCTCTCCGGCTGAGCCTTCACCATAAGGGCACTTGGGCAGGCCATCTGTGATCTCCCCAAACTGCAAACAGCCCGCCTACTTCCCACCCGGGCAGGGATACCTCTCTTCAACATGCTCGAATGTACGTTGCTACTAACAATGACAAGCATGAATTGTAGGTCAGAACTCAGAAATGCTTACATGAAACATGCGTGAGTGAATAATGGAATATGTCTGCTGCCTTCAACCACACGAAGCCCACCACGTGCACCGTGTACAGTAAAAACAGCAGGAGTCACACAGACGTGGGGCTCTCATGCTCAGGGAAAGCCGCCGCCTCTGGCTAAAGTGACCGGCACCTAATGAGAGCGTGAAGCAGCAAACCGACCTGCTGAATGCTCTGGACTGCAGAGTTGGTCTCGTCGCCTACGCTGCCTGTGAACTCGGTCTCTTTCTCCGAGTATTCGCTGAAGGTGGCGTCCTCGGGCACCGGAGTGCCCGCCTCCTCTTCTGGCTTCTGCTTTCGCTTGTGACTTCGCTTGGCGGCTTTCCCGTGCTTCCCTTCGGCCAAATCTTCCTGCTCCAGAGTCAGCTCAGGCTGTAAGAAAATCAGGTGAGTCGGTCACGTCACACAGTGGCCAGGGCAGCCCCTGCACCATCCTGGACACGCTCTTGGATCAGTGGGAAGGCTCGTGGGCCACCAATAGTTGCCAGTTTTGGTTTTTTTTGTTGTTGTTGTTTTTTTTTAATACATACAAGTCATATTTTATGCTAAAATGTAAATACTTTTTTTTAACTAATTTTTTAAACCACTGGGTAAAGGGAAATGTTTCCGCCCTGGGGAGCTCCTAGAGCAAGGTGAAAGCGCTTTCCAAGCAGGGCTCCCTTTCCCAAGGCTGCAACAGAGTCACTGTGAAAAACCATTTTGAATTAAAATAGGTTTGACTACAAAACCGGGGTCATCTCCGTTTGGGACAGGAAATGAGGGCCCCGCTGCAGTGATGATCCCAGTGGGTTCCCATCCCGCACGCTTCCCTGCAAGTGTCCCGGGCGCTGCTGGGCTGTGACCCCATCTTCTGAACCGGGCCGGTTCCACGGCCAGGCCAGCTCAGGTTCACAGAGGCTGCGGGGCAGTGATGGCTGCTGCGGAGGGCTCAACCTGCACCCCTCTCACGCCGTTCCACACGACCCCGGTCCTAACCCAGTGGCAGACAGACCCGGTGGAGGCCTACACTGTGGTCGTGGTGCGACGTCCCTGCCCCCATGCCTGTGACTCGCCCAGGGTAGAAACGGCCTGTGGGTTCCGGCTGGAGCTGCGTGGCCGCACGTCCCTCAGCCGGACACGTCACTCGGCCGGACACAGCCACCTTCATCAAGACTGCGCCCTAAGGCGCCATCTCAGAACGAGGCAGAAACGTCACCCGGGACCACTGAGAGCATGGCACTCTCTTTGTAATAAAGAAACTTTTGCTAACTAAAAATTTCTTTTAAAAGTAAGTTCATCTAATCAGTAAACTAATTTTGCTTGTAAAGTTTAAAGACTATTCTAATTTCCCTTTTTTTAAAATTTTTGAGATGGAGTCTCACTCTGTTACCCAGGCGAGCGTGCAATGGCGCGATCTCGGCTCACTGCAACCTCCAACCCCTGGGTTCAAGCAACTCTCCGGCCTCAGCCTCCTGAGTAGCTGGGATTACAGGCATGCACCACCACGACCGGCTAATTTTTGTATTTTTAGTAGAGACAGGGTTTCGCCATGTTGGCCAGGTTGGTCTCAAACTCCTGACCTCAGGTGATCTGCCCGCCTTGGCCTCCCAAATTGCTGGGATTATAGGCATGAGCCACGACACCCAGCCAATTGTTCTAATTTCTAATTTTTTCCAGGAAACATCTGTTTTCCAAAGTGAGATACACCGATATTCAACAAACTGAGATCACAGAAACTACAGAAACTAGAAGATTAGCTAAAAGGTTCTGAGGGAAAAAGAAGCCAAGTGAACAGGTGACGCTGGCCACGGGACTCGAAGCTGCTCCCTCCCGGCCTGTCCACGCCCCTCAGGTCCCCTCTGCAGGTGTCTGCTGCTTACCCCACCGTTTCTGCTCACCTGGACAATGCCGATGGAGGAGGCATCGATGGTGGTGGTCTCCGGGAGGTGGTCCAGGTCGTCAATCCTCACTGCGAGCACCTACGAGGAGCACAGAGTCTGAGCTGGGGGTTGGGGTGCTGCTGACGCAGGTGGGAACCCAGAAGTTACACACACCTCGGGACGACATCCGCCACTCCCGCCCTGCCCTCCCAGGCATCCGCGGCCCTTCCCATCTCCTCGTTCAGCTTTCACTTTAAGACTCTGTGTCCAGACGCCCAGGGCTTATCCTCAGCCCTCACTTCACACTCCCGCAAAGCTCCTGCCCCTGTATCATCTCACGTCTACTCTCCCGGGGGGAGACTGTGCTCCCTTTTCGGCCCCACACCAAAGGGGTGAGGTTTCAGTGGCGCTACTGTCATTTCCAAGGAAGACCACAGCAAGGTTAAGATACGGCGCAGTAAACCTGTTCTGTGAGGAATCATCGAAAAGCCGACATTTGCGCCTTGCACATCGTCCTTTTTGGTTGAATCCATACACAAGTGCTTTCATTTGTCTGTTTTGTGGTGAAGTGACGGCCTGCCCCTACCTTCCCTCCGACAGCCACGTGGAACAGGGGCCTCAGCACGCCCTGTGTGCCCACAGGGCCCCTCCCGCCAGCTCGGCACGTCCTGCCCAAGAGTGAGTGACCTTCACTGTCCACACCCTGCTGACAGCAGCTGCGTTTGTTCTTGTGATGACCTCATTAGATCATAAGAAAGACACGGAACACGAGTCCAGAGACAGCAGAACACGCAGGGAAGGCGGGATAAGGGGAGGGGCTCGAAATCAGCCGAAGTCTGCCGAGAAGGTGCTTCGCCCAAACAGCTTTGCAAACATCTTTAAATTTCTGACTTCTAAAGGAAGTCAAAATGGAAAAGTAGACGATGCTTTGTGGATGCAACTCATTTAAAAAAGACAGCAGGGAACTGCATCTTTAACTTTACACTCAATGACGAGGTCTGGGCCCCTTCTTGGAAAAGATGGTAAATAAAGCCTGGCCTGCAAGGGTTTTAAGTTAACATAAATCCTGACAATGACTTTGAAGACTCCAGTGCAGGCGTCCCCGAACTACAGCCCGCGGGCCACATGTGGCCCCCTGAGGCCATTTATCCGGCCCCCCGCCGCACTTCAGGAAGGAGCACTTCCTTCATTGGTGGTCAGTGAGAGGAGCACAGTATGTGGTGGCCCTCCAGCGGTCTGAGGGACAGTGAACTGGCCCCCTGTGTAAAAAGTTTGGGGATGCCTGCTCCAGTGTAACTCTCTCTCATTGACACTGAGCACAGACCTATACTGTGACACTCTCAAAGGACCCTGAGCAACCAGACCGCTGTGGACGTACTCTCTACAGTTACCACCATCACCCCCATAAGCACCACCGTCGTCATTATCACCTCTGTCACCAGTATCCTCACCATCGCCACCACCGTCACCACCATCACCACCACCAATACGTCCACCTCCACCACCATCATCACCACCAACTGTCACCACCATCACCACCATCACCACTACCACCATGTGACATCACCACCACCACCATCCCTATCGCCATCACCAACACCAACACCATCACCACCTCCTCCACCATCATCACCACCACCATCACCGCAACTACCACCATCACCATCACCACCTCCTCCATCACCGCCATCACCTTTACCACCATTTCCACCACCACCTCCATCAGTATCCTAGTCACACAGTCTGAAAGCTGATGCCACCAGAGAACCACCATAAAAGCATTAGCTTTTTTCTTAGGAGATAAGACAAAAGTGAAAAGTGTTTTGTTTTAAATGTAACATTCACTCTAAGTGAAGAGAAAAACCATAGCTTGGAGTCACAAAATACTATCCTAAAAGATTCCGAATTTCTGTAAGTAGTTTATGCCTGTTTAACCAGCTGAGCAGTTAAACTGTAACTAGTTTTAACTTAACTTGTTAAGTGTTCATCTCCAAGGAACACCTTCCTCCTCCTGAATCTGTGGCATCGCCAATGGGGACAGGCTCGGGGGACCCCTGGCGTGCCCCTCTCAGCCAGCCAGGGCTCACGGCAGCACACACAGCCACATAAAGCAACCAAATCGCCTGCCTTCCCTTCACACCGCTGTCCGGGGCTCTTCCACCCACACCCTCCATCCCAGTTTGTGATTACTTGGCCTGTCTGTCTGCTTCTTCCTTTTCCTTCTGTTTCCTACCCAGCCGGTACAGTCCAGGAGGGCAGGGATGGACCCTGGCTGGCTGGCCCGTCACTGGCAGGCACGTGCTGAGTCAATGCAGAAGGAAACAACAGTGAGATGATCAAAAGGAATGACACAGAGAGCCCAGGACAAAAGGCTGCAGAAACAAACCGGTTCGAGAACAGCAGTGGACGATATCCCCTTCACCCCTTTCACTTGGTTCTGTCTGGTTTGCGCTTGAGGGAAGTGAGGATGCGTCACACACAGCCCAGTTGAAGGAGCAGAGCACAGAAGGTGGACTTGCAGCAGAGCAACCTTGGGAAGTGGTTTAATCCTGGAGAGGACTCTGCCGGGCAGTGCTTGTGGAAGACGTCTTCACCAGCAAGGCCTCTCCACCCGGCCATTACAACTTCAACAGCATGAGAAAAATCACCGTGGCATGCTCTGCTCCTTTCCTTACCTGTCTCATTTACATAATTGAGTACTACATTTACACACAATGTGTGTGGCACACACTGTATACACACACACCATATACGCACAGCTCTTTCACGTACATTGTGAGCATTATTTTATTTCGAATCCGTGTAAGCCTGTGAGTGTAGTCAGACACGCGGCTAAACTATCATTAACTGACTCGCTTTCCTATTGCAGGATGTCAAGGGGTTGGAATGATCATTTACTAAACACTGGACAAATGCTGTGATGCTGCCTTCAAGGAAAGCACCCACGGGTGAGCGCGGCGGCTCGTGCCAGCCACCAGCGTGGTCACTCTGAACCTAAAACCTCCTGTTCCCTCCGCAGGCAAGGGAGGCCGTCCCCCGCTGCTACCGTTTGCGTTTCTGGGATGCGCAGTGAGCTGAACGCCTTGCCATGTGCTTTTTGCCACGGACATTCTTCCTGCACGAGCTCCCTCTCTGCGCACGCCCGGGTGCGCCACGCGTGTTTCTCAGCGAGGGCTTGTTACCGCTAACGTTAACAGGCTCTGTCTGTCTAAGACGGTCACCGCCCACACGGATTTTCACTTGCCTTTGGCCTGATTTGTTCCGAGTGCTTCCAGAGTCAAACCTGTTGATACTGTGTTTATGATTCCTTTTGCTGCTTTGACTCCCTTCTATGACCTGACCACCAAGCTTTCCTCTGGTTTTGCTCTGCAGGGTGCTCCTTCGTAAAGCACGTTTAACTACGGGACATCCCGGCCTTGCTGTCGAGCAGGCTTTCAGGGCAGCCCGGCTCTGCGTGCGTCGGCACAGTCTCCCCCGACCGTCCTCGGCGCCACACTTCGATCAGCCCCAACACCACACGCAGCCCCCATTTTGCACATGGGTTCCACAGGTGGGAGGAATGGGGGACGGGGGTGGCAGGGCTGTGCTTCCATCTTGCTGTAATTTCAGGGAGGATGTAATTTATAACCTCAGCAAAGGTCCGCCTGAGGCTCTCCCAGCCTCTCCTAGCCACTCGCTCATGACCTGTGTGGCAGGCAGTGTCGGTCACAGAGGCACCGAAGATCCAGGCCCTGCCTCCAGAACTTGGGGTCTGCAGAGGGAGGCGGGGTAGGTGCCAGCATGGATGTGTCTGGCGCACGGCCCACTGGCAGGGCGCGGAGGGGGCGCAGCCCCCAGCTTACCTCGGGGTGCTTACGCCGCATGTGCCGGCTCATGGAGGCCCTGGTGGACACCTTTGTCCCGCACAGCTGGCAACTCTGCGCCTCCACCTTGTCGTGGGTGAGCTGCACGTGCTTCTGCAGCATGTACTCGGTCACGTACTTCTTGTCACACACGGAGCACGTCCACTGCTTGCCCACTTTGCACACACACAGAGACACACACGAATGTGGAAAGGAAGAGACACGCAGGTCACCAGTGCGGCCATCACAGTGACCCTGGCCGCAAGAAGCCTGTCATGCCCTGTCCATCCTGAGAGGGTCGGTGCTGGTCCCTGAGCCCGTATGAGCATGGAGCCTCTGCATCCCTGCTCCAATATGAGAAACTCAAGAAGGGACACTTGAAAGCTGTGGCGGCTGACCTTTAGAGGCCAAGGGGCCACCATGAAGCCCAGACATCACTACCTGTGCTGGAACAGTCTAGGTGGGAGAACCGTTGTTCCCACCCCCGCAGGCACTCAGATGGCCCTGGCAGCCCGCTGCGTGTGGCCCCGAAGGCTCCGGCAGGCTGCGCCCGCTTACCTGTGTGGATGAGCTTGTGGGTCTCCATGGTGTTCCTCTCACTGAAGGTCTTCCCACATAATTCACACATGAAATCTTTAATCCCTGCAAAGAAAGGTGCACATAACTTCCTCATGTTTAATGAATGTTTTCAGTCCACATCCGAGAACATCTTCCCCTGACATGTTCTCGGCACTGCAGAGCCTTTGGGGGAAGGTGAATTGTAAAAAGATGACCAACAATGAACGCTCATCCCAGCCTCCGCTCGAAAAGTGTGACTTGGAAAGTTCATGCTTCCATGGTGACATTTTGTATCAGAGAGTCATGAGCTGTGGGGATGGCTGTCTGGGAACACAGACAGAGAGTGGAACCCACAGAGACAAACAACGGGAATTTCTTAAAAGCATTAATGTACCGATAGCTCCCTTTGTCCAGAAAGATCTTAGGCGGCCTATGTGATATCAAGAGAGAAGAAACGGTCACTGAAATCAGGGCCAAGTGCAAGGGGATCACAGACGTGCCAAGCGTGTGTAAGAGACAACAAAGCTGCCATGCTTGGGCAAAATGAGTAGGATTCCTAAAAACCTTTACTAATTCAGCCGGAGATCGAGACCCTCCTGGCCAGCATGGTGAAACCCCGCCTCTACTAAAATACAAACAACCAGCATGCGCCTGTAGTCCCAGCTAGTTGGGAGGCTGAGGCAGGGGAATTGCTTGAACCCAGGAGGTGAAGGCTGCAGTGAGCTGAGATGGTGCCACTGCATTCCAACCTGGTGACAGAGTAAGACTCCATCTCCAAAAAAAAAAAAAAAACAAAACATTACTAAGTCAAATTAGAGCTGATGTAGGTCACGGTGGCTCACGCCTGTGATTCCAGCACTTTGGGAGGCCGGAGGAGGATCACATGAGTCCAGGAGTTCAAGAGCAGCCTGGGCAACACGGCGAGCTCCCATCTCTACAGAAATAAAATAAAATGAGCTGGGCATGGTGGTATGTGCCTGTAGTTCCAGCTACTAAAGAGGCTGAGGTGGGAGGACCCCTTGAGCCCAGGACGTCGAGGCTACAGTGAGCTATGATCGCATCACTGCACTCCAGCATGAGCGGCAGAGACCCCCGTGTCAACAACAACAAAAAGGCAAATCAGGGCTTACTTGACTTTTTAAAATATTTGATAAGTACCGAGTCAGTCTGGCTCCTGGGCGGGCCTCACGGGAGCCAGAAGTGGACACTGTAGCAGACAGCACCGGCACTGGCGGTTCCAATTCCAAGAACCCCTTCCAAGGCAGGGCATTAACCCCCCAGAGCCTCCCAGAGCAGGGAGGGTCCCTCCCTGGGTCCAGGGGCAAGACTAGGAAGCGGCACTGGTTTGTTCCTTGTTTTAAGGAAACTTTTGATTGACATCAAACTCACAGAAAAATTATAAGTGAGTGTATGGCTCAACAAATTTCCACGAAGTGAACAAACAAAATAACCAGTTCCCCGATGACACCATCCCGACATTCCCAGGGTCAGGGGGTACACGGCAGGTGGCCTTGAGCTGGAAACAGGTTTAATCAGAGCGGTGACGGGGAGGCGCACAGATCATCCTGTTAAAACGTTCTTTTCTGGATGAGGAGGCTGCATCTCCCAGGACAGTCTGCGGAATTTGACAGTGTGAAGATGAAAAGGCCCAGCCTTAGTGACTCCTATTGAGAGAGTCTGGGAAAGAAAATCCAAACCTGGTCTTTAGACGAAGCCTCTCAGATGATTCAGGTCATCCAAGACTGAGTGTTCCCAACAGACAGCCACGTGAGGAAAGTTTAGAGAACCTTCCTTAAAGCTCAAGGACCACAACAAAAGATGCCCCAAATGCTCGGAAAGACACGGCAAGCAGCGGACCACGGCCCTGGGAACGGCCACTGCAGGGATGATCGCCGGGGGAGAACCAGGGAGCGTGTGTTTCACCGGGCCAGACACCTCGCTCTGACGGCGGCCAGCACCCCACCCGGCAGCACAGGACATGCGCTCCCCACAGCACAGGGAAACATGTGGCACCTAATTATGTATGCAGTCCACAGGAGGGAGGCAGGGAGGAGGCTGGAGGTGGACCTGGTGCGAGTGCTCACGTCAGCCCATGTCTGGGGACGCAGGGGGGCCGGGGCAATGACGCTGCATGCCTCAACAGGGCGAGCAAGAATCAAGTCCATGGTCTATTTTACCCCAAAAACTGATGGGGAGGTGGACCCTGTGAATGTCTTTTAAACAAAGGTTTCCCCCAATATGGGAACAAGGCAAGTACTTTTTTTTTGTTGTTATTTTTTTGAGACGGAGTCTCATTCTGTCGCCCAGGCTGGAGTGCAGTGGCGCGATCCCGGCTCACTGCAACCTCCGCCTCCCGGGTTCAAGTGATTCTCCTGCCTCAGGCTCCTGAGTACCTGGGATTACAGGCATGCACTGCCACGCCCAGCTAATTTTTTTTTATTTTTAGTAGAGATAGGGTTTCACCATGTTGGTCAGACTGGTCTCAAACTCCTGACCTCGTTATCTGCCTGCCTTGGCCTCTCAAAGTGCTGGGATGACAGACGTGAGGCACCGCGCCCGGCCCAAGGCAAGTTATTTTTAAAGGCACACTTAACTCAGTCCTGAGGGCTCACTGTGGAGCATGGGACGGAGGCCACCACAGCCCAATGAATTGGTGGGCAGCAGGCAGAGTGTGGGGTGTTCTGAGAACCCAGATAAGGACATGAGGCCCAGTCTTGAGGGGCAAGTGTGTCCCCAAAAAGGTAAAGCATATACTGGATAGAGATGTCCCAGGAAAGGGAAGGATGGCACACTTCTGGCAATCCAGGGGCAGAGGAGATCCGCATGCCCGGCCAACCCAAAGCACACTGGTGTAGCAACCAGCACCACTCTGGGGAGCGGGGGAGGCAGCTGGGCAGGTGAGGGCAGGCAAGGTGGGCAGGCGAGGAGGGGTGACGTGAGGACGGGCAGGTGGGGACGGCAGGAGAGGAGGGCGGGCGAGGTAGGCAGGCGAGGAGGGGTGAGGTGAGGTGGGCAGGGGAGGTGGGCTGGATGAGGAAAGGACCCAGCATGCAGGTGAGTGCCCTGGGGAGCCCCGAGCAGGCTCACTCCAGGGAACTTCACACTCAGACAGGTTCCATCACCCAGGGACAACCTTCTCTCAACTCTGATGTCTCAATCCTCTCTCCGCAAGCACACACACTCGCCCATACAGAAGACCTTCATAAGCTGGACGGTGTTAGCGGCTGCGCAGGCTGCTCTGTGACCTGTTGTGTCACTGACTCCTTTCTGTGCACATCAGCGTAACACGCATCATCAACCGAGCAGAAATCCTGCTCTTTCCTGGGTGTACCAGGGCTTAGCCATCGCCCTCCCGAGGCCACCTCTGACCTCCCGGCGCCTGCCCTAGCACACGCAGATGACAAGCAGCCTTGCGAGCATCCCTGGCCCTTGTCTGGTTGCTGTTTCTTATGCACATTCCTGCGGGGGAAACGGCTGAATAGGAGGACCATTTAAGGACTGACCCATCTCCCAAATACCCGCCGTGAGCTGTGTGGCACACGCTGCAGGTGACAGGGCCCCTGTGAAAGGGGGGCCTTTGGAGACACACAGCTGCTCACCACGGCTCCAGGCAAGCTCCCTTGGAGAAGCCGGCACTCACTGGGAGTCACAAGGAGGGACCGTCTTGAGGCGGATCTCTCTCCTCCCGCGGCCCCCCTGGCTCCCCTGCACCACGGGCGCCGCGGCCGGCCCTGGACTCACCTGTGCGCCGCCGGCCCTGGACTCACCCCTGCGCCACCGGCCCTGGACTCACCCGTGCACCGCCTGCCCTGGACTCACCCGTGCACTGCCGGCCCTGGACTCACCCCTGCGCCGCCGGCCCTGGACTCACCCCTGTGCCGCCGGCCCTGGACTCACCCGTGTGCCGCTTGCAGTGCTTGAGCATGTTGACCTTCTGCGCGAACCTACGGTGGCAGTCCTTGCACTCGTACTCCTTGATGCCCTTGTGCAGCTTCATGTGGTGGCGCAGTGCGTGCTTGGTCTTCATGCCTTCAAGGACAGAGCGGATCAGAGGCGCCACACCCCCATGCAGCCCACCGGGCCCACGCTGAGACCCTGGGGCAGGCACAGGCATCGGCCCACACAGTACTAGTGAGGACCTGGGCCAGCCCCTGAGGATCCCGGTCCACCAGTGGTGAGACCTGGGAAGTGACTATGCCAGAGGCCAGGAGGGACTGACTGTGACATCAGGTGCATTCACCCCTGCCAGGGCCTGGCCCAGCCCCAACCACACATGAGCAGCTCGGGGTCTGGGTAAACTTCCCAGCGTGCCCATGGCAACCCAGCAGGAGAATTAGGCGAGAGATACATTAATATAGGTATGACCTTGACAATATGAGTGGTAATTAGGGTTCGGACGCTAGATGGCTTCAGCAGTGGCTTTCCATCTACCTCTGATTTAAAAAGCTAATCTTAAGCAGGTGAAATATTCCAAAGCCTCACTTGCGCAGCCAGTGGAGAGAGGGATGGCCCTGGCACAGAGGCTGAGCCAGAGGACGCAGGTCGCACTCTACAGGGCCCTCTTCAGGGGGCACGAGCATGGGCAGCTCGGCACCCCCACCCGGGAGGCTCACACGCACCAGGGCACAGGCAGACCCAGCCCAGAGGCAGCCTCCCCACCCCCGAGGAGGAACCTTCGCTGTGCCTGCCCAGGGCGCTGGGCAGCCTGCAATCCCAGGCCACCGTGTTCCCTCCACATTTGGGGAAGAACTACAGAGCCTGAAAACAGCTCTTTCATAAGCTGGTGAACGCTTCTCCTCCTATTCCACCCTGACCAGATGCAGCGGTGACCGTCCACCACCTCCTGTGAGAATCTAAGGGCTGGGCCAGGCGACATCCCTTCTGCGAGAACACTGCTCGGCTGCCCAGCAGGGGGAGCAAACGCCCCGAGATGAAGCCTCGCCACCAGCACGCGGCACAGCGCTCCCGCCGCGGGTGAGGACGGCACCTGCAGCCCTATTACCAACGACCCAAGAGATTTCACCCGAAAAAGTTACTTTTAATCTTTTTGATTAAAAAACAAAACAAAACAGGGCTGGTCGTTGTCGACATGCCGAGACCCAGCACCTCCCTCTTCCTGCTCCTAAAATGAACATATTCCAAATTCCAAAACCAATACACAGTCATAGAAAAGCCAGAAAATAAAAACAGAAGGATGCATGTTCTTCACATGTACCCCAAAACCTAAAATGCAATTAAAAAAAAAAAAAAAAAACAGAAGGAAAGGGACAGCAACGCTCCTCGCCACGATCCAGCCTCCCTGCCACCGCCCGCGCTCGTGACTGGGATGTTTTTTCTTCCATTTAACAAAGAAAATCTGCAAACAGTTTCAAAATAAACACAACTGCCACACAGAGGGCATTTTAAAGCTCGCTCTCCTGGGATTGTGATTCAACAGATTACCATGGGGAAAATTGATGTTTTTTAAAATACTTAACATTTCCAAGCCTGAACAGGGCACACCTTCTTTATAGCTTTCAACACCTAGTGTCGCATTTCCACTGGCCACGCTAAGTTCTCGTGGGTCATTCCTGAGTATTGCAGGGCCCATGACATGATTGCTGTGTGATGTTTTCCTCCACACACACAGAAAACCTGCGGGCTGGGCCCTGGCCTCTGCCTGCCGGAGACAGACCATCACGACTTCCAACAGCCTCCCACTTGGTCCCCGACACTGGCTAAGTCCCTGGTCAGGGCTAGAATTTCCGGAAAAAATGTGAAGTAAGCACTGTTTCCTGCAAGACTGTAATAATAAATGACTATTAAAAAAACAACTAGAGGCCAGGCGCGGTGGCTCAAGCCTGTAATCCCAGCACTTTGGGAGGCTGAGGCGGGTGGATCACGAGGTCGAGAGATCGAGACCATCCTGGTCAACATGGTGAAACCCCGTCTCTACTAAAAATACAAAAAACTAGCTGGGTGTGGTGGCGCGTGCCTGTAATCCCAGCTACTCAGGAGGCTGAGGCAGGAGAATTGCCTGAACCCAGGAGACGGAGGTTGCGGTGAGCCGAGATCGCGCCATTGCACTCCAGCCTGGGTAACGAGAGCGAAACTCCGTCTCAAAAAAAAAAAAAAAAAAAAAAAAAAAAACAACTAGAAACTTGATAAATAAAGGGTCTGGTTATATTAATCCACATGATGGAATTGTGTCAAGGGTTTGAAAAATAAAATCCGGCAATATTTACATGTTCTGATATAAAAAAAAATCTCCAAGATGCATTTCCAAGTTAAAAAACCCAGCAAAGTATGAAAATCGAATGAGCACAGCACGTGCTTGTCTGTACCAGCAACTGCTACGTGACGGCAAGATGACGACGCCGAAATTTGGTAGTATGTAAAATAAATCTGGCAACCAATGTATTAATGCCAGCATTTTAACTATTCAGAATTCACTTTAAAATCCATGCGACTAAATAATTAATACGATTCAAACACTAAAACGTCTATGACATTAGAAAATGTGGCTTTCTTCCACATCCCTCGCCTCCCAGGGTACCTGGTGGCATTTGGGGACCTGCGGGGGACGGAGGTGTGGCTCCTCTCTGGCTGCCTAAGAGGGCCGGCCCTGTATAAGCCCCACCTCTGGCTCTCCGGTCTCGACACACTATTCAGGACCCCTCCAGCCGGGTCCACCACACTGTCTTAAAAATCTGACTTCTTGGGGGCATCGAGGAGGAAAGGGGAGCTGGGGCAGGTGGTGAAAGGGGCTGGGAGCTTAAGGCAGACAGGGATGGAGAGGAAGCCAGCCTGTCCCAGTGAGGCAGGCAGACACTGCTACTGACACTGGCTCCACGAGGAGCAGCAGGGTCTGAGGGGACAGTAACAACGCCATCTTCAGACCTGTTTGTAGTGTTTAAAAAGTAAGACTTGGCAAAGTGAATGCACTGCTTTTTCATTAAAACCACCCATGTCCCTGCACGAAGTTACTCTGGCGGAGGGACAAAGGCCTGTGCTGGCCTCGGAGGTGAGGAACTGACGGCCAGGAAGGAGCGGAAAGGAAGAGCCCCTCTCCTGCAGGCAGTTCCTCCAGGCTTTGACACACAGTGTCATTCTGCGGGTGCTCACAGGGCTCGTCCGGGGAGTGGAGGTAACGCAGCTTCTGCGTCTTCATGCTGGTCACGGCGACAGCCCAAGACAAGGCCTGATGTTCCACAACTTTTAGGAAGTTGTTTTTTGTTTTGTTTTTTTTTTTAAAAAAAAAGACAGGAATGGGCTAAAAATGTAGCATGTTCTGGAATTATCTTTTGATTTTGCTTACTAATTGAGACATTTTATCACTAGGCTTGTTATTAGCGAATGTTCTGTTGTTACAATGAAGAGTCCTTGGCAGTGGTGAAGTGCTCTCACCCCCAGCCGATCCCAGCCTGCGGGCGAATACGCGGAGGGCTTGGCATCGCTGCCGGAGCCCACGGTGGCTTTGAGAATCATTTCGGCAATGAGATCCTGCATGGCTTTCCTACTTTGAAGATGATGACTCGTGCCTTTACATTTATCACATCTTTCTGCCTTCCGGACACTTGATTTTTCTTTTAGATTCCCGCTTTAAATCCTGCCTCGTCTTTTCCTTTCAAGTAAGTGACTGAAGCCTACGGGTTTCCAGAGCCACACTCCGGCAATGCCACTTGCACTGTGGTCAGTGTGATGTGCCCGTCCTGGCTCTGGTCCCCTCCCTGCACCCTGCGGCCGGGCAGCCAGCTGAGCCCGGCCCGCGGCCCCGGCGCCCGCACCTACCTTTCCCACACTCGGCGCACAGGTACTCGCGGACATTGTCGTGCACACGCATGTGCTCCTTCAGCATGTCCTTCCTGGCAAAGGACTTCCCACACTGCTCACAGGCGTGGCTCTTCACACCTGAGAACACAGGCATCCACCGCTCAGAGCCGAGCAGCTGCTACCTGCCTGCGGTGCCCACAGAAAGGACACACCGAGGGGAGGGGCTCGGCCTGCCCCGCAGCTGGAAGCACAGGAACACGGGCAGGGTTGCCCCTTCAGCGGCCCCGCAGAGCCCTGGCTCAAGTAGGTCCCTGAGGACCTGGAGGGGTGAGGGGCTGGGGATGCCGGGCTGTGAGTGGCAGGGCTGACAAGGACGCAAAAAGCTGGAGAAACGGCGGAAGGCGCAGGGAGGCGGGTGCGGCAGCTGTGTGTGGAGCACTGGAGACCCCCAGCGTCCCTCCCTGCCAGCCCCTGCCCACCAGGGCCGGGCCCCCACACCCTGACAGTCACGCACCTGTGTGGATGAGCTTGTGGCGCTCTAGGTTTCCTATGCTGTTGAAGATGCGCCCACAGATCTCACAGGGGTGGATGTACCTGAAACCAGAGATGAGCTCAGGATGGCTGCACAGCCTCGGGCTGTGCACCGTCCCCAGCACCTTCCCCGGCACCATCCCGGGCACCTTCCCCAGCACCTTCCCCAGCACCACCCCCAGCACATTCCCCAGCACCTCATCCGCAAACGTTTGAGGCCACAGGGATGAACAAAGAAGCAAATATCGAAGCCTCTGCCACGGGCCGGATTGGGACCCCCCAGTTCCTACACTGAAATCTTAACCCCAGCCCTTCAGAAGGTGACTACGTTTGGAGACGGGCTGTTTGCAGAGGTGATGACGCGGGAACGAGGTCATCAGGGGTTCCTTCCCCCCCTCTTTTTTCCCCCCTCCTCTTCTTCCCTTCCCTCTCCTCCCTTCTTTTCCCCTTTCTTCTTCCCCTTTTTCCTCTTCCCCTTTTTTTCCCTTCTTTCCCCCCTTCCCTCTTCCTTCTTCTCCCTCTCCCCCCCCCCTTTCCCTCTCCTTTCTTCCCTCCCCCCCTCTTTTCTCTTCTTCTTTTGCGTTTTTCCCCTTCCTTTCCTTTTTCTCCCCCTTGTGCCTTTCCTTCTTCTTCCCTTCCCCCCTCCTCCTCCCTCTTTCTTCTTGTCCTTCCTTCCCCCTTCTTCCTTTCCTCTCTTCCCCCCTTTGCAGGAAACAGCATTTCGGGTCATTCTGTAGGCAGGCCAGGAACCCGCTATTTCCCTGTAACGTGGCCAGCTGCTGCCAGGAGACTGTGCGGAAGCACAGGATACACCTCAGCCCTGCTGTCCCCAGCCCTGGCCTGGGACCCAGAGGACATCACTTGCTCGGAGCTACAAATGGCTCGTTAAAGCCTGCGTCTCTTTGCAAGGAAGCACGCCCCTCCCTCCTGGCACAACCCGGAGCCCCCGAGCACGCCTCACTTCTGCACGTTGGGGTCGGGCAGGTTCTCGCGGTGGATGACCATGTGGGCGTGGTAGGTGGCCTTCAGCGCGAAGCGGCGGTTGCAGATGCTGCAGCCGTAACCCTTCTCCTTGTGCACCTCCATGATGTGCTTCAGGTACTCCTTCCCCCGGCCAAAGGTGAGCTGCGGGCGGGCGGACAGGCCCCTGTTGACATCCGCATGAGGTCCCTGGTCCTCTTAGCTAACGGTCCACAAACCAGGGCACCGACACTCCCCATGAGCCCATGACTCATGCCAGGGCAGAAGGGACTCTCAGAGGCTTGATGGGGACCTTTTCCAAAGCCGTAAGGCCTCGTGCTCAAAACTCAGAGCAACGTTCTCCTGAGAAACCAACCACCCTCCTTTTTGGTGAGCCCCTTCCATGCACGGGGGAGGCCTTGTGAGGGGTTCAAGCCTGAGCAGGGAGGAGGAGGGGGAGGGGAGACGGAGAGCCTGCAGCCAGCACAGCCACCTTCTAGGAGGCCGATCCCCACACTGGCCAGACACTTCATATGTGTTCCTGAACCAGGTCACAAGGGGAGTTCCTGGAGAGCGCCAGTGAGACCCACACAGACCATCCCCGAGGTGACACAGGCTGGCCTTCCCGGACACGTGATGGATGGGCACCCAGCCTGCACCAGGACCGCCAGCCCGAGCCTTTGCGGAGGGAGGGCTGCTTCCAGGACGCACGAAGGTGCCTACTGCCCAGGACCCGCAGCCCTGCGACTGCCAACATCCTTTCCAGACCCCCCAGGCACCGTGGGGCAGACCCCGTACCTGGCACCGCTTACAGCTGTACTTGTGAGGCTCCGAGTCTGCGCTCTCGTCTGAATTGTCGTCGTTTTCTTCAGAGGAGATCCCGATCTTGCCGATAAACTCTTCCCTCTGGTGGTCATCCATCAGCGCGATGTCCTGGAAAACAGCCACCACTTCCGGTTTCTAACAGCACGGCAGACGCTTCCCTCAGTTACCTCCAGCACAGGGACGAGCGATCGTTTCCCCAGAGGCAGATGAAAATGCCTCTCTGATGTTCATGACGCCCTAACGAGCCACACGTGTGCCCCAGCCCATTCCAGCTTGTCCCTCCCTCCCCGGCTCCCCACCTAAACGCCAGGGCCGCTCTCGCTCTCCACGCCACCCGTGGCTTCCTCTCACACGCGCCCAGCAGATCCCAGGGCCAGACACTGCCGGGGCATCCCCCGAGTGGGTGGGTGGTGGCTCTCGCCTCTCGGGTCTGGGCCTGTTTCCCTGGGGCCTCCCATACCACCCGTTCTTTCTTCAGTTCTTCTTGATCAGCGCGCCCCCCACCCTTCATCACACCCCACATCCTCCCTGCTCCCAGAGCTTCCACTCCGCTCCTCCCTTGCCTCAAAGGCAGGGAGGGATTCGAATGCCAGGACCGGGCTGGGAGGCAGCCACGACAGGGGAGCTGTACGTCAAGCCTGGCATCTGGGCCGGAGGAGGTGAGGCCGACAGTCACGGAATTCATTTGGAGAGCTGACATGTGGCCAACTTGTCAACTCTCTGAGGACGCTGCTGTGGTCTGAATACTTCCACCCTCCCAAATTCCCATGTTGAATCCTAACCCACCAGGAAATGGTACCAGGAAGCAGGGCCTCCTGGAGGCCATTAGGTCACGAGGAGTCCTCAAGAATGGGATTTGGGGCCGGGTGCGGCGGCTCACGCCTATAATCCCAGCACTTTGGGAGGCCAAGGCGGGTGGATCACCTGAGGTCAGGAGGTCAAGGCCAGCCTGACCGACATGATGAAACCACGTCTCTAATAAAAATACAAAAATTAGCTAGGCATGATGGCGGGTGATTGTAATCCCAGCTACTCGGGAGGCTGAGGTGGGAGGATCACTTGAACCCAGGAGGTGGAGGATACAATAGGCTGAGATCTGGCCATTGCAGTCCAGCCTGGGTGACAGAGCAAGACTCAGTCTCAAAAAAAAAGAATGGGATTTGGGCCCTTATAGAAGACACCCCCGGCCCTTCCACCGTGTGAGGACACAGCGAGAAGGCGCCATCTAGGAACCAGGAAGTGAGCCTCGCCAGACACCAAGCCTACTGAGGCCTGGACATCCAGCCTCCAGAACCGTGAGCAGCACGTCTGCCCACGAGCTGCCCGGTCTGCAAAACTCTGCTCCGGAAGCCTGAGCTGACTGAGGGTCACTGGCCGGGGCCTGCCATGAGCCTGGCTGGGTGAGGGCAGCACGCGATTGAGACCTTGAAGTGGACGTGGATGTGATCCCTGAGCACGTCCACGCGGAAGAACTTGCGCCCGCAGATCTCACACGTGTACTTCTTGTCGCCGTGGGTGAGCAGGTGCTTGTTCATGTTGCTCCGGCAGGAGAACACCTGTGGGCAGAGGACCCGCATGGTGAGGGCGGAGGCCTGGGGACGGGAAGGGGCCTCTCCATCAGGCTCCTTCGGGGAAACCACAGCTTGGCCCAGAAACACAGCACTGTGCTCAGGCCTTGTGCTTCAACAGCTCCTCAGTGTGTGACAGATACAAATAGTCACTGATGCCACAGTAAGCGTCACTTGCTGAACTGTGTAAACAGGCGCTTACATTACAATAGAAAATGGGCCATTTGCTAGTCTTTATTATAACTGAGAGCTCAGCTCCATTTTTTTTTTTAGCTCATTTAAATACTTCCCTAGGATGGACTACCAAGGAACCAGTACATCACAGAAATACCTGCCATCTTCTGAAAGCAGGTGCCAAAGAAGGTCCCCCCTTGGCTTTGATACTGTGTTTCATGTACATTCACAATGTCCCTGATTTCTTGGTATTTCCAGCCTAGCATGACAGGTGTAGAGGTGCGCTCATTCAACCAATATCCATCCCAGGGGTCACCTCTGTGACCAGAGCTGAGGTTGGCACTGGGAATACCGTAGTCCACGTGACAGATGTGGCCCCACTGGCACAGGGCAGTGGACAAGGCTGGCGGCTGAGACCACCACTAGGGCCCTAGAAACCCCAGCACCCCACAGAGCTCTGCAGGTCTCTATCTGGATGACCATTCCCAGTGGCCAAGTAACCCAGGGCGTGACCTCCTAGAGCTCGCCCGATGCCCACATTCTCAAGAAGAGAACGTAAGAGATGAATGAAAGGGAACGAGTGATTCACTGCGGACAAGATGCTGGCGTCTCCCTGCGACATCTCTTTCCAAGACGTGCAGGTGATCCAGGGGCCGACAGCACTGTGCCCCACCCCAGGCTGCCAGGTGGGGTGACGGACAGGTGGGAAGGTGAGCGGGCCGCAGGGGAGGCCAACAGCTGCAGCTGTCGTGGTCCTTGCAGGGCAGGCTGGGCTGAAGGTGAGAAGTAACTAAAAACGGCAAAGATTTCAGTCACCCAACCTACAGGCTATTTCACTACCTGCCTGAACTCGCCTCAGTGGGGAGTCAATAAACACCGCATAGAATAGACACGTGTTTGGACATCAGGCACAGAGCCCGGTGGCTTCGCACATGTGGTATCTCAACAGCATGGAAGCCACTTGGGGCCAGTAACCCCCAAGGGTCAGAGGTCAATGGGGAGAAAGACCAGGGACACAGGACAAAGGGCACGGGCTTCGCCCACCTCTGCCCTGTGCACAGCTGGCCCGGCTCACAAATGTGCTCGAAGTCACCTGCTCGACCCCAGGCCGACCCTTTGGCCCCCAAACCCGTAGCCCACAGTCCTGGACCCCCAGCCACACCACCCTGGCTCTCTCATTTGCTCAGGCCCTCTGTGTTTTGAAACAAATCAGGAAGTTTCATATACCTCAGTTTTCTCTTTAAAAGGTCAAATGTTCCGGTGATGGTGCTGCCTGCTGAAAGGCAGAACGCTGAGGACAGTCACAGCTGGTCTCCTGTGGGACCTGTGCTCCCAGCTGCTAAAGGGCCTGAATGGGCATCGCACTGGGGCTCACGGGAACTGCATGTGGTCGGGGCACCCTCCTTTCAGCGGCTCCCAAAGCCGCCTGAGTGACGTGCCGGAGCTGCTGGGCCCAGAGCCCGCGTGGGAGCCGCTCAGAACCCTTACTCTGCAGCACGAGCTTTGCATCCTGTGAAGGACAGTCCCTAGGCCTCCGACGACCGATGACATCTCACAGTCACCTGAGTGAAAGCTGAGTCTAACGAAGAAGGGGGGACAACTCCAAGGCTCTCACGCACAGAACACGGGGCCACAGCAGCCTGATGGCTGTGGGTGCCACGGCGTGGGCCCTGGGCTCTCCTGGCAGGGGCAGCGTGTTTTCTGGATGTTTAGGATCCAGCATCTCTGCCATGCGGCCAGGTGCCTGAATCCCGAGCCGGTGACAGGACAGCCCACACTGCGTGGCCTGGGATGGATGTGCCCTCATGGATGACACCACACTTTCTTCACTTGGGCTGCGCCAAATCCACTGAGCGTGCCTGGGAGCGCCTGCCACGGGGTCGGCCACGCTCTAACTTACAGAACGCCAGCCGTCCACTGCACAGGGGAGACCAGCGCTGACAGGCAAAACGAAGCCACTGGGTCCCCCTGCGGACCCAGTGCTGACCACAAGGTCACTGTCTCAACGATGCTACACAGGAGAGAGGGAGCCAGGGAGCAGTTTGGCGAAAAATCATAGCACAGAGGAAAAACCCTTCCTTCTCAGCCCACTCACTGGAAACCCATCTTAAGTGCCAAAGAGATCCAAATGACCAGTGTGCAAAATGGGTGGACCCCAGTTTAAGACACCCTGAGCACCCATCGATCCCCCCAGATCTTCCCTGCTGTACTCTGTAAGTACAGCTCACAGGAAACGATGTGCTTTCCACCTCAGCTGCCGACGCGGACCGCGCGCGTTACCTTGCCGCACACCGGGCACCCGGAGGGCTCCTTCTTGTAGCGGACCAGGTGCTCCCCGCCGGCCTCCAGCTCCTCTCGCTTCACCCGCCGCACGCCTGAAATTCCCAACCCCACCAGCGAGACAGTGAGTACACACAGAACACGGGAAGGTCCGGCAGATTCCAATTCGGCCAGCGTCCTGCCCAGTGCATGGGGGGCTGGGCTGCCCGTGGGGGAGACGGAAGTGTGGCGCTCTAAGTAACGTCACTTGCACGCTGTGTGGCATCAGCACTGACCGCCATTCCTGAAGCAGCCCCAGAGAAGGAAGGGAGACACCACAATGTACGTGGCATCTGCGGACACAGTTCTCGCATCTGAAACATTTGGAAATACAGGGGCATCGAGCGCTACATTTCCTTAAGTAGCAGAGCCGTGATGGGCTCCTGTGGAAGAGGGCGTGTCTACTCCTCTAAAGGCTCAAAGCCAAGTTACGATTCTTACAGATGGTGAAATAGGCGGGCATTTTTTATCTAAAGATACTAAGTTCATCTCTTGCAAATTAAATCAATCAGATCAACAACAGGCCGGTAATAAAATCTTTACGGTTTTGAGGCGTATCATTCCAAACTGGGATCAAGGCAGACTTTTAAATGTTTATGCAAAACAGGTAAGTTTGGACCGATAGAGAAGCCCACTTCTCAGGGTCTCTTTCCACACTGCTGACTCGCTCTGGGAGCGTTCCTGCCTGGCCAGGCGTAAGTGCAGAGCCGGACTTAAAATGCTCAGCGAGCTGGACGTTGAGCAAATGAACCGTTCCCCAAAGGCTCCCAGCAATACGGACACAGGGGTCTGAGGCACGGCTTGGACTAAGCTCTGCTATGAGGGACAAATCCATAAAATAGTCACAAAAACGTGAGCTTACTCCCACAGAAGATGACCTGAGTTACATCAGATTGTAAAATGCAACCCAGCTACACCGCGTCCCTGGAAACAGCTGACTTCTGGCAGCCTCCACAGCTGCCGCACTTATGAGCGCTTGCTGTGTGCAGGGTGCTGTGCAAAAAGCTTCCAGAGAGGGATCTGGTCCAACCATTACAGCAACCCTATGGGGTCAGGTCTGATTACTGTCTCCCCTGCACAGGGGAGGAAACGGAGGCACAGCAGCTTGCTAAAGACTACCCAGTCACTAAGTGGAGTCCAGGTTTGATTCAAGAGGCCCTGAGTATGCCACCCTAGGAACCACAAAGAAATATGTTTGGGTCTTTATGAATCAACATGAGGAAAAGCGTCAAGTAAAAAAGGAAAGTGCTGAAATGTACACAGGATGCAATTCCAGCCTTGTTTTTACAAAAGAACAAAAGTATCTGTGTATGCCTGTTTGTATGGACGTGGCTACACTTCATTTTTTATCCTTATACATGTTTTTTTAGATAGGGTCTTGCTCTGGAGCGCAGTGGTGCAAGCACAGCTCACTGCAGCCTCGATCTCCCAGGGTCAAGAGATCCTCCTGTCTCAGCCTCCCAAGTAGCTGGGACTACAAATATGTGCCACCATGCCCAGCTAATCTTTTGTAGAAGCAGAGCCTCGCTATGTTACCTGGGCTGGTCTTGAACTGCTGGCCTCAAGTGATCCTCCAGCCTCTGCCTCTCAAAATGCTGGGATTCCCAGCATGAGCCACCGCGCCCGGGAGAGTTATACTTTACGCAGGACTCTGTTGTCTCACATCTTCTTTTCAACAATAGTATGCTTCATTTGTAATTATAAAATATTTCTTTCCAAATTTTTATGAAAAGGTGTTTGAAAGGCTGCTGCTCTTAGTTGCTCTTGTACTGGTTTTTCCCACTTTCTGTCATATCGAATATCTAGAATCTCTGAAAAAACATTCGTAATGACAGTGGAACACTCGACCCAGTGAATAGTCGAGTTTTCTTAACTCTCTTCCAGTGTGGAACACTGGGGTATTTCCAACTGTTTCTCCTTGCGCATAGCAGGTCTGACACCTGCGTCTCAGCTCCTTGCTCTCCTGAGCCAGGTTCCCGGAAGAGGATCACCCTGTCTGACAGCGGGCATTTCCAGGCACAGGAGCGGGTGGTGCCAGGCTGCTCCCTAAAGGCCTTGCTGACTGCTCCGCCCCACCCTGCCCTGCAGGGCGCCTCTCCCATTCCCCGCAGCAGGTGCGGGCGGCGCTCACCTTCCAGGTGCCGGCGCTGGTGGTCCAGCATGACGTCCTTGCGGTAGAACATCTTGCTGCAGACTTCACAGGCAAACTTCTTGTCGCCGTGCTTCTTCTTGTGCTTGGAGAGGTTGCTGTTGGTGGAGAAGAATCTGAAACACATCTCACATTGGAACGTCTTGTCATCTGTCCAGAGAGCAAACAAACACACAACGATTTTAAGGAAAATAACATCTCACGCTGGCACGCACATGTGGCCTGAACGTCAACAAAGCGCAGGTGACGGGCATGAGAGTCACAGGGACGCGTGGCCCGGAAGAAAACAGCACCTGCGGGTCACACGCTGTCTACCCCAGGAACACACGACGCAGAGACGGGAACCTCAGTGCTTGAAAAGCAGACACGGAGCTCACCTTTCATCACCAAGCAACGCCGGCCACCTCCCTCCCAGGCCACCCTGTCCCACAGCGCCTGGGACGGGGACTCCGTTCCTGTCAGGAAACCCGCCCAGTCCAAAGCGTCCCCTGGGCCTGCACCCGCCATCCAGCATGACCGACTCACAGACAGAATGACCTGCCTGCCAACCACCCGACCAACATGGCCGTCCCTGCCCCTGGGATCCCTGGCGTTGGCCACTCCCAAACTCCTTCCCCGTGGGCGGGCATCCACGTGCCCATAGCCCCCACCTTCACCCAGATCCTCTTCAGTACAAATGTAATCACACATCACACAAATACAAACATACTCAACACACCACACACACACACACACTCATGCCCCACACAAATACACAATCACACACACCACATACACACACACACGCCACACACACTCACTGAACACATCTAAACACATAACATGACCCCCACACACCACAAATACAAACACGCTCACACCACACACACACCCATGTCCCACACAAATACACAACCACACACACTACATACACACCACACACACATGCCCCACACAAATACACACTCAATACATCTAAACACACACACATGCCCCCCCACAATCACAAATACAAACACACTCAACACACCATACACACATGCCCCACACAAATACACAATCACATACATCACACACACGCCCCATACAAATACACACACCACATACACACCCCACACAAATACACACACAATACCACATCTAAATACACACACATGCCCCACACACAATCACACACCACACAAATACACATTCAAAATACATCACATACATACTCCACGCAAATATTCAACACACCAAACACGCGCCACACAAATACACACACATCCTCCACACACACCGCATACAAACACAAACACCCCACACAAACATAATCACACACTATGTGAATACACACCCAACACACATCACAAACATCCACATGCCCCAAATACACAATCATGTACCAGACACACACTCAACACGCCACACATAAACACACCCCACACAAATACAAAATTGCACAGCATACACATACACATTCAACACAAACCACACACACACTCAACACACCACACACACAAGCCCCACACATATATAGAATTATAACACATCCATGCACATTCAAGGCATCACATACATATAATCATGTACCACACAAATATACTCAACATACACCACACATACCCCACATACACATTCAACACACACCACATTCACTATCACACACCACAAATACACACACTCAATACACACCACATACAAATACACGTTTAACACATACCACACATACACCCCAAATACATACATACCACACAAATACACACACAACACACCATACACACAAGCCCCAAATGCACAATTACACCACATACACACACATTCAACATACCCCACACACATAATCACATACCACACAGATACACTCAACATGCACCACACACACAACCCATGTTCAACACATACCACACGCACTATCACACACCACACAAATACACACACACTCAATTCATAACACACACAAATACACATTCAATACATACCACACACATACCCCACACACACATTCAATATCAATATACACCACATACACTGTCACATACCACACAAATATACACACAATACACACCACACACAAGTACACATTCAAAACATACCACACACAAACCCCAAATAAACATACACCACACAAATACACACTCAACACACCACACACAAATACACAATTACACCACAAACGCGTTCAACATACTACATATCACACCACATAGATTAGCTCAACATACACCCACACCCCACATACACATTCAACACACACCACATACACTATCACACACCACACAAATACACACTCACTACACACCACACACAAATACACATTCAATACATACACCCCAAATACACACACACCACACAAATACAATCAATACACACCACATAAACATACACTCAACACATACCACATACACACTCAACACACCACACAAATATACAATCATACAACTTACACTCACACATTTAACACACCACCACATACACATATACTCAACATACACCACACACAAATACACATTCAACACATACCCCACACAAATACACACACAACACATACGTTCAACATACCCCCAACACAAATACACATATTCACTCAACACAAACCACACACACATACCACACACTTAACACACACTACACACACATGCCCCACACAAATACACTCAACACCACCTCCAAACACACACACATGCTCCAAAATCAACACATACACCACACACACACCACACATTCAACACACAACCCACACACAAATACACACACAACACCTACAAACACACTCAGCGCACACCGCACAAATCATACACCACACACAAGTACATATACTTTCACATACCACACAGCACACACAAATACACACTGAACACATACACACATCACACACACTGAACACATACCACATACACAATACACACACCACACAAAATGCACACCACACATGAATACACAAATCACACAGGGCACAAATACACTTAACACACACACCACAAAAATACACCACACACCTCATATTCAACACACACACACACACATACACTCAACACATACATACCACAAAAAATAGACATCACCCAAATACATCCACACACCACACAAATACACCCACACACCACAAAAATACACAGCCACACACACACTCTACAAAGATTCTAGAAACACCCACATCCCTGCATCCCAGACCCCATCTCCAGCCCCTCCTGGACGGTAGCCAATCAAACTGTGGTTTCTGCTCCACGCAGGACGCTGACAGTCCCCCAGTGTCATCCGTCCCAGTGACTCTCGCCCAGGCACACAGGGGCCCTAACTGCCCACCCCACCACCACCCTGCAGCCTCAACCCCAGGTCCCTTCGCGTTTCCCTCATCCATCAGATGCCTCAGCGGTTGAGGGTGACCCCAGGACCTAGCAGAGCTGTGTTTTTTTCCCCCGTGAGGCCAACACAGGAGTACATGACAGCCAGGTGATCCAGGAGCGGGGCCCAGAGCAGACTGCATTTCCGGGCCCCTAGCTCTCCCTCACGGATCAGCTCCCAGGCTCAGCCAATGTGTGCCAAATACACAGTTCCCCAAACCTGCATCCGAAGCTGCATTTGTGCGATCCAGCTGCCCTGCGCCTCTCCCCCTCTGCTGCCCGAAGGAGCTGCCACCGAGTGGCTGAGGGTCCCACTGCCTAGGGGTTCCCTGCCTCAGCAATTGGGACGGATCTTTCTTTGTTGCGGGCTGCCCCGCACACAGTGGGATGTTGAGCAGACACCAGGCCTCCACCCAGTAGGTGCCAGGAGCACCCCTCTCCACCAAGGTGTCTCCAGACATGGTGCCAACGTGCCCTGGCGCAAACCCCCACCACTCCCCACCCCCACCAGGTTGAGATTCACTGGCCAGGGCCGCCACAGGTGTCTGGCTTCACTCGGGCGATCGCAATGTACGGCCCAGGTGGGGAGTGAGGGAAGGAGACAGCCTCCCCAGAAAGTCAGGTGTCTTCACCTCTTCCCATCTGGGAACGGACATCATGGTCATCTGCTCGGCTACTCAGCCACTCCTAGGGCCCAGGAGAAGACAAGATGCAGAGGTGGGGAGGGGATGGTGCTTTGTCAGCTCCAACCATGGAAGGACAGTGGGAGGTGGCCTCTGCCAGGGCAGGCGAGGCTTGAACAGAGCAGAGGTGGCCCTGTGCCAGGCTCCCTCACCCACATGCCACCCCACCCACAGCATGACCTCAGCCCAGAGCCACCCTCACCTGGGCCAAAAGAAGGGCACTGTGACAGATGCTGTGCGGGGTCCCAGCCTCACGCTGCTCGCCTTCCTTCTATAAAGTGAATCATTATCCATACAGCACTGCCCTCAGTTTCTTTTTGGTTTAAGATTTGCTGGGCTCTGTCCACATCCACACAACCGCCTGGGAAGTGTCCTTCACACACTGTGTCTGTGGTGTGTGTGTTTACGGGGCTGGACATTTTCACAATCACTTTAATGGCTGTCTCATATTCCATCCAGTTCACTACTCACAACAAACTTTGCTATTTTTGATGCTGTGGATAATTTAGTGATGCAATCTTTAGTTATGTAGATTTTTTTCTTCTGTCAAATCTCTTGATCATAAATTCTTAGGAATGGAACCACTACAGCCAGGGGCTTTGTGAAAGGCCACACCTTTCCAGTGCTGTTACATCAAACCGCTACACTCCCCCTCAACCCACGCCTGCTCAACAGCACAGGTGAGCTTCTTCCCTGCGGTGAGCCTCCCTCCCAGACAGGCGCCGAACAGCAGAGGTGAGCCCCTCTACCAGGAAGGTGCCAAACAGCACACATGAGCCTCCCCGCTGGGCAGGTACTGGGCAGCACAGGTGAGCTACCTCCCAGGCAGGTACTAAATTATACATGTGAGCCTCCTTTCCAGGCAGGTACCAACCAACACAGGTGAGCCTCCCTTCCAGGCAGGTACGAACAGCACCGAAAGGACCCTGGTCCTGGGCAGGTGGCCCCACTAGCCCTGGGGCTCGGCAGCCCCGTGGAAGGCAGTGGTGCTGCCGAGAGTTCAGCTTTCTCCCTGACACGTCCCTCTTGATCCTGGAAAGAAAACCTACTGCAAACTGCTCCCCAGCAGTCCCGGACAACTCTGCCAACCCGAGGGTGGCTTTTCCTGCTGCAGCCACCCACTCACTGCCAGTTCAGGAACCCAGATGGGCACTAGGTCCCAACGATGCTTCTCTCTCCAATAACCCTGCGGCCGTGGAGGTCCAGGATTGTGTGTGAATAAATGAGCCACTGAGAACAGCTGCCTGCTGGGGTCTGATGAAGCGAGGATGCACAGGGCACCCGGGGATGGACAGTGGGTTACTGGCGAAGACTGGTGGGCCGCATTTTGCCTGAGGACCTGGACGTGAGCCTTTGCGATTTCCGCAGCGTGGTATTTACGGTCAGAGACAGGACAAGGCACACGAAGATGAGTTATACCAGCACCTGGTCACACCACAAGGGACAGGCACCACGACAGGTCCCGTGGAGGGATTCTCAGAAAAACCCACAGAACTAACATTTTAAAACTTCCCCCACATTGTGCAAATTCTTGGTTTAATGGTCTAAGGAAGATACACATTCTCTTAACTTCAATACTATAAATAAATATAAGAGCATGCAAATCATATATTATGCAAATGAGCTCCATTTCAAGGTTTTTATCCTTTCTTTTCAGTCTAAAACGGGTAACCTTTGAAACTAGAGTGTCTCAGAAGAGGTGGTACGATGCTGGTCCCTGCCGCTCTGCGGGTTCAAGGTCATTCACAAAGCCCAGCACCTGGCCTAACAGCACCTCTGGCTAACAGGAAGCAGCTGTCACCATAGCCGCTTCTAGTACTTTCTGTTTTATTTGGGTCCAGAGAAATAGTTAAAAATAACAAGAGGCGAGGCTAGGCATGGTGGCTCACATCTATAATCCCAGCACTTTGGGAGGCCGAAGCAGGAGGATCACCTGAGGTCGAGAGTTCGAGACCCACCTCACCAACATGGAGAAACCCCATCTCTACTAAAAATACAAAATTAGCTGGGCAGGGTGGTGCATTCATGTAATCCCAGCTACTCAGGAGGCTGAGGCAGGAGAATCGCTTGAACCCAGGAGGTGGAGGTCGCAGTGAGCTGATATCATGCCATTGCACTACAGCCTGGGCAACAAGAGCGAAACTCCGTCTCAAAATAAATAAATAAATAAGAAGTAACAAGAGGCAACGCCTCTTCCACAACCTTGAGTCTGCCTCACCAAGTGCCTTAGATGCTGGCATCACTCTTGGGAACCTGACATCCCTGCCTGCTACACTCCCGCAGAATCGCAGGGACCCCAAGGGGAGGTTCACAAACAAGACAAACGTTTACCTGCCTGGCCGGGGCTGCATTTAGTGGAAGCTGTCAGGGGGCTGTGCCCCAAATTTCTTGGGAATTTCTGTGATGGGAGAGGTTAAAATGCAGGAGGCGCGGCACACCGGAAATTCATCCAGAAGTTTCTGGAGGCCACCGCATGCCAGACGCGGATTCTTGAGAGCCGCTAAAGCTCAGGCAAAACATGAGTCACACCTGCCCCTTGGAGCAGTCCACCACAAAAAAGAAGGCCCCAGGGAGGAAGAACCAAGCCCTAGTTTCAAAGAAGAGTCCTCAGAGCAGCACACACAGACCCCACCCGGCCCCCACCACAGCAGCCGCGGCGGGGTGGCAGCACCTCTCACACAGCCCGCATGTGGCAGCCCTGGCCAGAGCCACTGGGAGCCCATGGCTGCGGGTGCCTTGTTCTCGACACGGAGCAGGCAGCACCTTAACAAGAACAACACAGATGCAAGTGACAGACACAGAGCAGGTGGACAAGGACGGGTGGGCGTGGAAGGCTAACCTGGTAGGTCTCTAAGCCGACTGCCGCCAGGCCCCCCCTCTCCAGGGCGTGCTATGAGTCCTAGAGAGAGGGGGACACAAAGGCAACAGTGACTCATCCCTCTGCGCCCCTCGGGGGACCCCCACTGCCTGGGCCTCCAGTGCCACCTACCACTGGGAATGGGGAAGGCCTGACTCCCCCATCCCAGAGGGTGCACCTCATCACTGCAGAGCACAGGCGTCCTGGGGCCACGTGGAGAAGCGCAGCCTCCTCCTGGTGTGTCTGCATTTCTATCATCTGTTTACGCACCAGCAGCAAACTCAGGGGCCTCAGATCCGACCCCAGGCCCAGAGGCCACCTCTCCATTACAGGCTGGTCCAGGCACACCCAGCTTCAGGCCTCACACAAGGAAAACGCGCTTTATTTTTGGAGACTGGTGCTCACAAGCAGGCTCAGAACAACAACGATGTCTGCGGGGCAGCCCTGTTCCACCCTGGACGCCCGCCGGAGACGCGGGTGGAGGGGGGCTAGCGGCCAGGACACTGCAAGCAGCAAGGCAGCGCTCGCACGCCTCCAGCCAGCATCCTGACCCTGTCTTCTATTCCCCATTCGGCCCTAGGACAAATCGGACCCTGCTGCTCCCCGTTCTTAGCCAGACGGGCCCGGCTACACAATGCTCTCCAAGGTGGGGCCAGACGCAGCTCGGCTGACAAATGCAGGAAGAAAACCAATCCCTTTTGATTGGAAAGTTTCCATCTGTGTGTCTTTAGAATAACAACTGCTTTGAAGCAAAACGAACACAGGGAAATGCTAACAGTGAGGCTGTCTATTCATGAAAACAATCTTTGCTTCCGCCTCAAGTTCCACACCTCCGCGGCTGAGGGGACCCGACGCGCCCTCACCTGTCCTGCAGTTGTGGAACTCCAGCGCGCTCTCGATGCGGAAGGTCTTCTCGCACGTGCCGCAGCGGTACCTGTACTCGCCGTCCACCTGCTCGGAGGGACACGCCGTGAGACGCCGCCCAGCGCAGAGTCCACGGAGGCCGAGCCCCCACGCGCTGCCCGGGCGACTCCACCCCTGCGTCTGCTACGACTCTGCCCTTCACCACCCTCCTGCTCCATTCAGGAACAGAGGATGCTTGCTCCTGCTGCTCACCTGCCCTAGAAAGGGAATCCCACACTCAGGGAGCCCCACTCCAAACGCCAGACGCGCCCACTCTCCTGACTTCCCGCTGCACTCGTGGGCATCTGACCAGGCCCAGGGACTCCTGGTCACCCACAGCCCTCGCCCGCTCTCCTCCCTCCAGGGGCTCTTCCTTCGCATTGCAGCGTGGAGATGCGGTCGGTTGTCTGTGTCGCCCACGCAACTGGAAAGAGAACCCTGGGGTTGTTCCCACCCACCTCGTTCCTGCTGTGCTTGTAAGAAACGTGCTGCTTTAGGCTCTCTTTGCGGCTGAATAATTTTGCACACTCCTCGCACTTAAACAGCTTGTCACCTGAGGAACCGGCCAACAGAAAGCTCATTCGCTACTTCGAGCGTTTACTGAGACGCATGCCCACCTCGGACACGCTCCACGCGCCGCCTCGCTCCCTCCATGCGACGGGGCTGCGGAGATGATTGTCCCCCAACCGGCCGCAGGCCCGGAGGCGCAGCTCGTGGGAGACGGCCCAGGGCCGGGGGATTCCGCGCCGCGCTCCCACCCGGGCCCCGGCCGCCGGGCTGCGCAGACTCACCATGCGAGCGCACGTGCCTGCTCAGGTTGCTGCTGTTCTGGAATATCTTGCTGCAGATGCTGCACTGGTACACCCGCTTGTGCTCCCCGAGCTGTTTGATGAGCTTGCGCCGGATGCCGTGTCTGCTCGAGAGAATTAAGCTCCTCTTGAGCGTGATGGTGTTATTCTGATGATGGCTGAACCTGCCCGGGGACGTCAATAAGTTGGGAAAAGACAGGTGGGAAAAAAGCTCCAGGTTACAAGCAGCATGGAAACGGCAGCCTTCCGAAACTTCCCCGCTAATCCTGCGTGTGCGCGCGAGAAAGGAGGGAGCGTGCCCCGGAGTCACTCCCAGCTTCCAGAACATCCAAAAAGGACACCTTGAATATATAATGACATCAGGCAGCTTTAGCTGTAACAGCCACACACCTGGCTGTGTTCTAACTCTGGCCACCAGAGAGCCTGGAGGTCAATTTGGGCCTCAACTGGAACAACCACATTTGTTTTCTGCTCTTGTCTCTCGTCTTAACTCTCCTCTGTTTTACAGATTCTCTGAACCTGATTTTTAAAACTTCTTTTCCCTGTTAAACGTATTTTTGATGGTAAGCCACCTGAACTCTTTTGGGCAATAAGATAAAGTATAAATAAATAAATAGGTAACATCCTTTGTTCACTCTGACATTACTTTTGCCAGCTATAAAAGGTACTCTTCTAAGCTAGAAGCAACCCATCTGTCCATCAGTGGATGCATGGATACACAAAATACAGAGCATATGCATGATGGAATATTACTCAGCACTGAAAAGGAAGGAAATTCTGACACAGGCTACATGTGGAGGAACCGGGCTGGAATGAGCCAGTCATGTAAGGACAAAGCCTGTCTGATTCCACTTATATGACATCTCTAGAGGTGTCAAATCCACAGATACAGAAAGTAGAATGGTGGGTGCCGGGGGCTGGGGGAAGTGGCCGAGGCGAATGCTGAATGAGGACAGTGTTTCAGCTTGGGAAGGTGTGAACGTTCAACAGATGGACGGTGGAGACAGCTGCCCAACAGTGTCAATATCCTGAATGCCATTGAATTATGCACTTTAAACAGTTAAAATGGTTATATTTATGCCATGCATATTTTACCACAATTAATAAAACATTTTTGGCCGGGCATGATGGCTCACGCCTGTAATCCCAGCACTTTGGGAGGCTGAGGCAGGAGGAACATCTGAGGTTAGGAGTTCAAGACCAGCTTGGCCAAGTTGGTGAAACCCCATCTCTACCAACTACAGGAAAATTAGCTGGGCATGGTGGTGGACGCCTGTAATCCCAGCTACTCAGAAGGATGAGGTAGGGGAATTGCTTGAGCCCGGGAAACAGTTTGCAGTGAGCCAAGATCGTGCAACTGCACTCCAGCCTGGTCAACAAAGCAAGACTCCGTCTGAAAAAAAAAAAAAATTCAAAAGCTGTTTTCACAGCAGATGCACCATTAAACTCCTGAGCTCCAAAACATTCCTGCTGCTTCCTGAGAGGGTCCACTTCCATCTCCTCGTGGGGTTTTCCTGCTGGGAAGGTGCTTTCTCTCCAGAATGGCCTGGCTGCTGCCAGCGCTGTCTGTCCACAGGATGGCCCCAGGTGCCAGGCGGGACTTACTTTGGCACTGAGCTGGCGTCAGTGGTGGTGGTGGTGGTGGTGGTGGCCAGCTTCCCCAGAACCAGCTCCATGATCCGCTCGTCCGGCGCTGCACTCACAGGCTCATCCGGAGGGACCTCGGTGATGATCTCCGCCACTTGCTCTGTACAAAGGGGATGTGACAAGCCAAGTCACCACCAGAGTAGGGGACAGACACAGCCAAACCACGGGGACACGCTGCCCCATGCGGACTGCAGCCAGGCTACAGTGGTAGGCACAAATGTTGAGGTTTCCACAGGCAAAAACAAAAACAAAACAAAACCGGCAACCCTCTGGGACCCACACATTTACTAGCATACACGGAAAAGCAACATGTTTTTCTTAGCCCAAACTGAAGTTATAATTTGTTATTCTTTTTATAAACCACAACATCAAAACATTATTTCAATCTCTCTTCATACCAACCGAAAACATTCTGAATATATAGCAAAAACTTCGAACTTACTGCATTGATTCTGACAGAGGTTTAGAAACGTTAAGTTTTCTAATTAAATGTGCCAACATTAGTATCACCATTTTAGCTAACCATTTTGTACAAGAGCCAAATATCAAATCATCACCAATACTAGAGATCCTGGCTGGAAACCCAAGCCAAATGAAATAGGGGAAGATTACACAAAGAGATACAACTACTGGTTTCTACCACTTCACCGACTAAATGTCTTCCCAACACAAGTAAGAATTAGTGAACAATCCCCCAGACACGTTTCCCCTACCCCGATTCTCTGCCTGTTCATAGAGACAGGGAAAGTGCCCCGGACCCTTTCAGGTGCTCCTAAATCAGCACCCAGCGGTGCACCGCCTAGGAGTTGCAGACCAGAGTAGAAAAGGGGAGGCCCAGAATATTCCATGAAGGCTGCTCTTCCCAATTCTTTCTAACTTATAGAAAGAATAAAGACTCCTTTTCACTCTCACAAAAGAAATCCTGCTGTATCCCACACAGTAGAAAGAAAAACTGCTTGTGTGAGTCACAAAGGTGGAGGAGGGGCCGCTGGCTGAGCAGCACACCTCGTCCTCACAGAGAGACCCACCAGGCACGTGCTGCAGGTGGCCAGGATGGGGGCTGTATGAGGACCCCAGGGACAAGAGCCTTGCAGGCACCGCGCACCCTGGGAAGAGGGACAAACACCTCCCCAGCTCCAACTGAGAACACTGCACAATCCAGGGCTGAGCCCTAGGCAGGGCCTGGGAGCAACTCCGTGCCGACTCACGAGTGATGGACTAAGTACTGTTCAGCGATCAAGGAGAAGGAGCCACAGATAAACCACGTGGGCGGCTGTCGAGCCAGTACGCTGCCTGAAAGAGGCAGACAGAGTCCATTCGCGAGCAATCCCAGGACAGGTGGAATGAACTCATACAGAAGACAGTCAGGAGAGTGGCAGAGGAGACAGAAATGTCCTCTCCCCTGACTGGGGTGCCGGTCTTACAGCTGTATCCATCTGTCAAAATTCACAACCTGTATCCTTTTTAGTGTGAAATGTATGACACGGAAACTGTACTTTATTAGTTGATTGAGAGAAAAACAGACGGGCTTAGTGTCTACCTTCCACGAGGCCTTTCTACACTGAGTTTTCCTGCCTGGCCCCTGCCCTCGGCTCCCTGCCCCCTGCCCCGCCAGCCCTCGGGCTCCAGGAGGACTGCACCCCACTCAGGCACTCTTCCCCAGGACCCACTCATCACCTGAGGGCTCCTTGTCTTCCACAGTGACTAGAGGCTGCTCGGTTTTAGATGCTTTGGGTTTTCTCCCCCTTCGAGGCTTTTTCTTCTGTTCTTTGGTGGCAACATTCTGGCTCTCAGGCACTGCAGGGATCTCCCCCCGGGGTGCATCCTGCTCCTTCTCAGGAGCCGCTGCCTCACTCTGGCTGCCCGGAGGAAGGCTTTTGGCTTGTTCCAAGTGACCCAAGAGATGCTCTGCAAAGACAGATGCGAAGGCGCTGCACAGTTAGGAGGCCTGCCACGGCCCACACCCGCCCTGGCCTCTGCTTCCCACGTGCATTTGTTTTCAATCCTGTTTGCCGACCTTTGTATAGGCAAGTCAACTGTATTTCTACTGTTTTCCACTTTATTCCCACTGTGTCAACTTCTATTTATAAAAGTAAATTAAGTGGTAAAAGTAAGGGTAGGTTCACCATTAGGGCAGTTTGGTGAAGAAAGCACACACACATATGTCTGCAAAGAACAAACCTGAGAAGGAAGTATCAGAATAGGAAGGTGGCCAGGTGCAGTGGCTCACGCCTGTAATCCCAGCACTTTGGGAGGCCAAGGCAGGTGGATTATGTGAGGACAGGAGTTCAAGACCAGCCTGACAAACAGGGTGAAACCCCATCTCCAATAAAAATGCAAAAAGTTAGCCAGGTGTGGTGGTCTGTGCCTGTAGTCCCAGCCACTGGGGAGGCTGAGGCAGAATTGCTTCAACCTGGTAGGCAGAGGTTGCAGTGAGGTGGGATAGTGCTACTGCACTCTAGCCTGGTAACAGAGTGAGTCTCTGTCTCAAAAAAAAAAAAAAAAAAAGAATTGTGGCTGAGACCTGTGGAAGCCCTGGGAGACCTAGCAGAGGCAAATCAAAGCACTGTGTAACACTACTTCCACAATCCAGGGTGCATGGAAGGTCCACTGTGGGGGCATGGGAGAGAGGAAGATTCCTTGCTAAAAGAAAGAACAACAACAAAAACAAAAACAAAAAAAAAAACAAGAAAACTGAGAAATTAAGCAATAAACCATCAGGTTGTCAGCAGATACAGACAGACAGACAGACAGACACACACACACACACACACACACACACACACACACACCAGGAAGAATGGAATTCCTAGATAATAACACAAGCTGAGAGGGAAAACTGGGGGAAAATACATTTAAATGAGCAAAGGGTTTAAAAAAAAAACATTAAAAAAAGGCAAGGGTATGCTGAAAAATAACAAGCAGTTATAAAAAAACAAATAAAATTACATAAAATAAAAAGCAGAAACCCAAAATAAAAACATAATATATAGATTAAACATAAAATGAGACACAACTGAAGAGAGAACTAAACTAAAACAAAGAGCTGCAAAGATTACCCAGAATGTAGAAAGGAGACAAGAGAAAATATGAGGAGAAGCTAAAAGGACATGAAGTGTAATATAACGAGAAGGTGTCAAACATGTACAACAGGACAAAGAGAGAACAGGACGGAAGACTAAACAATGGGCAAGATAAGGGTAGGGGGGTTATCCAGAATGAATGAAAGACATGAATCTGCAGATTCAAGATTCGAGATCCCTAACAGGGAAAACAAATAAAAATAAAGACATAAATGATGACTCTGTTATAAATGACAGAACTCCAAAGACAGAGGAGGTTTCAAAAGCAAGTAAAGCCAAGGCAGAGATTACCTAAGAAGGAACAACTGTGATGAGAGCAGACTTCTCAGGAGTAATAATGGAAGGCATCAAGTAGCGTAACAACATTCTCCATGTGCAGAAAGAAAGTAAGAATAAAACAGTGTCCAATGCAGATGATTAAAGAAAACATATTTTGAGACAAAGACTGAAAAGACACACTAGCAGGCCTGCCCCAGAGGAAATTCTGAAAGGCAGTAAGAGTAATTTTAGATCGAGGATCAAAAATATAAAACAAATAGAACTAAAGTTAAAAAAAAAAAAAAGCCAAACATAAGGAAATTAGTAACCATCATTCCAGACAACTATAAATTCAAACAGGAAAAATAAGGCAAATTAGAAAATATTTAGAACGAAAATATGAGAGGAAGAGAGTCCGCACATCAAAGAGATGTACATATACTCTGCTTGTGAGATACAGCATTTTAAATATACCCATTAAATCAAGTGTCTTAATTATGTGCTTCAAATCTATATCCTTGTTAGTTTTTATCTGATTTATAAATTAAGATCTATGTATTAAAAGCTCCCAGTATGGAGACAGATTTTCCTATTTATCCTTGTAGATCTGCCAATTTTTGCTTATTATTAGACTATGTTATTAAGTGCATATACACTTAGATGCACTATATAATCAAAATGTGGAATGCAGCTAACATGGTTCTTAGGAAAAAATCATCTTAAATGCTTACATGAGAAAATAAAATGGCTGGAAATTAATGAGCTAAGCATCCAACTTGTTAGAAAACACAGAATGAAAAGCTTAAAAAGGAATCAATAAATAAGAACAGAAATAAAGTAAAAATACATTAAAAAGGATCAACAAAGCCAAAAGTGGGTACTTTGAAAAGACTAATGGTAAGTCTGGCAAGAAAAAATAGAGAATGCACAAATAACCAGTCCTAGGTGCAAAACGGAAAACAGCAGCTCTCTGTCACCACTCCCCACCTAGTCTGCCTTTCCATTTTTCAGTATTAGACAGCATCTCTTATTTAATATAGAGAACAAGGATTTAGCTTTCTATCGACTGTACTCTCTTCCCAAACACTTATATGCTCCACAGTCCCGCCAACAATCAGTATTTACATAATTATGACCAGAAAAATTTATTCACAACTGCACCAATATATGTTTACTGATTTGTTTTTGCTTTTGTTTGTTTTGAGATGAAGTCTCACTCTCTCGCCCAAGATGAAGTGCAGTGGTGCAATCTTGGCTCACTGCAACCCTTGCTTCCCAGGTTCAAGCGATTCTCTTGCCTCAGCCTCCCAGGTAGCTGGGACTATAGGTGCGCACCACCATGCCCGGCTGATTTTTGTATTTTTAGTAGAGATGGGGTTTCGCCATGTTGGCCAGGCTGGTCTCAGACTCCTGACCTCAGGTGATCCACCCGCCTCGGCCTCCCAAAGTGCTGGGATTACAGGTGTGACCCACCGTGCCTGGCGTGATTCATTTTTTTAAAGTATATATATAACCTTTGTTTTCCCTGGAGTTAGTTATTGCCTCGCCTGTTATTAATAACATTTGCTTTTTTTTTTTCTGTGTTTATATTACTAATTGATCCTTAAACTCTGTCGGAAGTATAACTCTTTCATCTAAAACCACATCCGTTAATGCTCTAATTCTTCTGTTTTCCTTTTCGAGCCATTCTTCCTGGAGCCCTTGCTGCTGCTGCAATCTGGACCAGTCATCCATCCCTGAACTAGGGAGCATCTCCTGTGCTTACATATCCTTCACCAGCAACCTGGGCATTCCCTTTGCTCCCTTCCCGCAAAGGATCCTCTCTTGTCTCCTGCGTGCAGTGGGTGTCTGCCATCTTTTCTGGCCAGCCAGTACTGGGAAACAACCTTGTGATGTTTTGCTAACTTCTGAGCCCCACCTTCCCAAAACACTCCTTTTCCCAACTCTCCTGCCTGAGGGCAGGTCTGTGCCGTAGCTCTGTGAGCAGTGTGGGGCTGCACAGGGCCTGAGAACACAGTTTCCAACCCTTCAGTGGAGGCACTGCGCTGTCAGAGACAGCACAAGTTTGGCCTCAAGGTCACTGTCAGAATGGGTGGCACTGTCCATGCCATGTAGGCCTGTCTGAGACAGCCTTGCTGTGGATCCTGAACAACACGGAAAGACCTATCTGTACAAAAATAAAAATAAAAAATTTTTAATTAAAAAATTAGACCTGTTGACATGCGCCTGTAGTCCCAGTTACTTGCGAAGTGAAAATGAGAGGATCACTTGAACCCGTGAGTTTGAGGCTGCAGTGAGCTGAGATCGCACCATTGCACTCCTGCCTGGGTGACAGGGCAAGACCTTATATCATTAAAAAAAAGAAAGAAATTAAGTTTGAGTTCGAGTTCAGAGGACTGGTGGTTTGGTTTGGAAGTTCGCCAACTTGAAAGAAACAAAAATCAATCAGATTTGCTTCTGAACTCCAGAACCTCTTCAGCAGCCCTCCCGACATTCCCACACCGCTCACAAAAGGCAGCTTCACATCCCATGAGAGCCGAGAGACAAACACAGACACGCTCGCCTCATTGGAACAGCAGCCCTGAAACAGCCAGGTGAAGTCCCTTCTCTGACAGCGCTCGGTGCCAGTCCCCTGAGGATACCCAAAGTGGCACGTGGCACCTCTGCCCTCAGGAGGCGCACACAAGGCCCCTCAGCCCGAAAATGAGAAGCACAGCCCCTCCTATCTCAGGGAGGTCACATAGCACCTGCTCTCTCGCAGGGACACACACACAGCCCCTTCCCCCTCACAGGGACACACACAGCCCCACCCCTTCGCTGGGACACATAGCCCCTCCTCCCTCACAGGGACACATACAGCCCCTCCCCCCTCACAGGGAGACACACACACACACACACACACACACACACACAGTACCTGCCCCCTCACAAGGACACACACAGCCCTTCCCCCTCACAGGGACACATACAGCCCCACCCCCATCACAGGCTGGCCTTTGGGGCTGCTCCTCAGTCTTCTCCCTCCTGGGGGCTCTGCTCCCCAGTCCTTGGCTCTGAACCATGGATTTTCCCAAGACCCCCAGTGACAGGCTGTAGCAGAAGGCACAGCTGACACAGGGAAGGAATGCTTGGGACCCCTCGGGTAATCCAGGGGGCAGAGGCTGGGCCCCCGAGAACCCGGCTCTAGTCCTCAAGGCAGCCGTGCTGTGGACAGGCGCTGTCAGGGCTCCTGCCTCTGTTTACTCATCCCTGAAACGGGTCACAGTTGTACCCCATGGTGTTGATACAGAAGTATCCAGAGGGCCTGGCACTGAGGGGTCCCAGCCACCATCAGCCTAATTGTAAGGGGAGCCGGAGTTCCCTGTCTTATGTGGTTGATGACATACAAGTAGAATTTGACTGCAAATATGAAGGAATTTCTTTTTTCCTCACTCAAAACTAGTTATCAGGAAGAAAAACAAATGAGCAGCAACGACTGTCTGGCTTTGTGGAGGGGCCCACCCATCACAGGCAGCACCCCTCCCACCTCGAAGTGCCTGCCACTGGTCTCCACTGGGTCCGGGGTGTGCTCTGCACAAACACGGCACTCCTAGAAACCGCCGCCACCACTGCTGTCTGTGTCTTGGTGACAAACACAAAATGCTTCTCACCAAGCAGAGGGCAAAATGACACATTCATCAACTCATTGAAGCCAAGAGGAGGGGGATGTCTCGGGAACGTGTGACCAGGTATCTCAAGTCTGCCGGTGCCGGCATGGTGGCTGTCCTGGTCACTCCTCACAGCTGCACTGCCTGGAACCCGCCAGGCCTGGGGCCTCCGAGCGTGGTCCACGTGTGACAAATGGCCACAAACTGTTTCCATGTGATTCCCCCACGGTTTATTTGACTCGAGTCTTTCTTCACTACACATTGGCCTCGTAAGAGGCTTGTGGAAAAATCAGCTCCCTAAGAGAAAGAAAGGGAAAGGTCCCAGAGCACTGCAGAAGCTGGAAAGGTGTGCAATGCTTTCTCGGCCACCTTAAATTCGTATGTCAACCTGAGCAGATAAAAATGTTCTGGGGCCAGGCGCCGTGGCGCACGCCTGTAAACAAAGTACTTTGGAGCGCTGAGGCAGACGGATCACTTGAGCCCAGGAGTTTGAGCCAGGCTGGGCAACATGGTGAAAAACCTGTCTCTAAAAAAGATAATCAAAAATTCGCTGGGCGTGGTGGCACATGTCTGTGGTCCCAGCTACTCAGGAGGCTGAGGTAGGAGGATCGCTTAAGCACACGAGGTCAAGGCTGCAGTGAGCCACGATCATGCCACTGCACTCCAGCCTGGACAACAGAGCCAACCCTTGTCTCAAAAAAAGAAGAAAATGTCTGGCGGATAAAGAAACAGTGGAAACGGGTGTTAAGTAGGGACAGCAAAGGCAAGACTGCAAAGGAGATGCCATGGCTGGCCCCTGGCCCCTGCCAGCACTCCAGAGTCAAGGCACCCAGCAGAAATGCAACTTCCACGACTGGGAGGAATGAGGAGAGAGGCCTGCCGGGCTCGGGGGTGGGGAGCCGGGCTGCCCAGAAGCTTCAAACCCTGAGAAAGCCTTGGTTCTGATGACTACACTGTGGGGCAGTGGGGCAGACAGGACAAAGCTTGGGACATCCCAACACCGCAGACAGGTGACAGTGTGAGTCAGAGGCAGCTCGCACAGGAGTTTTACAAACTGGAACTCCCCACACGTCCTCCTTACCATTGAGGAGCTGCAGCTCCAGGAAGGTAGCAGAACACACTTTACACGCCCACTGGCTGGGCTCCGACTCCACGGGGGCGCTGTTTTCTGGGGTGCCTGCAGCTTCAAAAGACATGAGAGAAGAAAAAGGTGACCCCAAGCAGCTCATGTCGGAGAAAGGGCGTGTGCTGGGAGGCAGGGATGACAGTGATGACAGCAGCTGACGGGCCCGTGATCACTCCACAAGACAGACACCGTTTTTAGAGTCTTATACACGTGGCTGATTCGGTCCTGTGACTGTCCCCTTTTCACAGATGAGGCAACTGAGCACGGAGCCACGCCTGCTGCAGGGTCACCAGTCACAGAACTGTGAACTCCTCCAAGAAGCCAGTCTGGGGGCCCCGGATCGCCCCTTCTATGACTTCATGAGGAAAGTGCACCCCAAAGAGCCACGTGTGATTCCTCAGCCTCTCACCGGCTCATAGAATGAGAGACGATGGAACCCATGCAGCCAGGCAGCGGTGCCCGCCCAGCGCTGTTGCTCTCTGTGGATGACAAATGGGCTCCAGAGCTGCTATCCAGCAAGGCTGCCGGTAACCAGATGTGCCTCATGTCTCAGGAAATAAGGATTTAATCTTACTAAATTTGAACTTAAACAGGCACCTGAGGCAGGTGGCCACTACCCCAGGCAGCACCTCTCCCCCTCGGCTCACGCTGCACAGGAACCTGCGGAGAGAGAGCTAAGCTGAGGGGACATGGCTACACCTGGCCGTAAAGAGAACTACAGGCACCTTTTAACAAAAAAGTCACTGATGCTCTTGTGCAACCTAAAATTGGGCGGGGGTGGGTGTTAAGTGAGTGTGCCATGATCTGGCCCAGCCCAGTGTCTCCACGCCTCGTGTGGCAGCCCCTGCGGGCTGGCCCAGGCCAGGACCCCTGCCTGTCACTCCCACTCCAATCACGATACAGCCTGCACTGAAGCTCATCACCCACTGCCAACTCCAGGGGACACTCACAAACACAAACTCCTGGGTCTTTAAAAAAAAAAAAAACAAACCCAAAACTACAACTGCACATGCAGTTGGCACTAGGAAAAAACACGGATCTTTTCATATCCTAAGGATGTAATGAATGGAAGATAAAGATATAGATTATTGCTATAACTGTTTGCATCCATGTTGAGTTTTCCTAAGACAACAAGAAGAAAGAGGTATAAATGCAATCGGAAATTTTCTGTCATAATAAAAATAAAGAAAAAGCAGAAAGAGTGTGGTGGGCCACCAAGCCAGCAGGGAATTTTTCCAGGACACCTCGTCCCCACCAGCTTCTGTTCCCTTTTACACTTGCTGAGAATCTCCTGCTTAAAGAATCCCAAAAGACTGAGGACAAATGGAAATCAGAGCCAAATCCCCACTTCTCACTCACCTTCCCAAACACACACACGTTCCAAAGAGAAAAAATCGCATGTCAGTCTCCGAAAAGGAGGACAAGGAGCCAGGTTACCAGAGGCTACACCTCTGAACAGGGGAGTTTCCTCTAATCCATGTGGGCCGCTGTCTCCAGCAATGAGGCTCCCACACCCCCACGAGTACCATTCCCTTCAGCTCGGCGTTCTGCTGCTAAGTACGAGGACTAGAAAAACTTGTCATGGCGACTGTCCGCTCATCAAGCGAAGAACTCAGGATTTTCCAAATACTCATTGTAAAAGATAAAGAGTTCTTAGGAAAAAATATTAGTCAACAGTCAGAAGGCAACTCTTAAACTGCCAATCACTTAAATATCTAACAAAAGAGAAGTGTCTCAGCAAAATCTAACATGACACAGCTTTAAAGTGATGCCAGAGATGGTAATAGTAGGGAAAAGGTTTAAGACGTGCTGAGCCAGCTTGTGCTCAAGATGCCAGAGATAGTAGGGAAAGGTTTAAGACGTGCTGAGCCACATTGTGCTCGCAAAGAAAAGCAGGCAGGAAGACGGGAGGCGCAGCTAGAGCTCTGCTATGCAGAGTTTTAAAACAAGGGACCGCAAGGCTGCGGCACAGAAAGCAGCCTGGTGTTCCAGTCGGGGGGCTGACGGCAGGGCGGCACGAGAGAACTTCCTGGGATGAATATCTGTAACTCAACTTCGATGGAGCTTACACAACTCTAGACGCTCAAAAGTCTCTAAACTGGCCAGGAGTGGTGGCTCACACCTGTTAAGTCCAGCTTCTTGGGAGGCTGAGGCACAAGAATTTCTTGAACTCAAGAGGTGGAGGCTGCAGTGAGCCAAGATCAGACCACTACACTCCAGCCTGGGCGACAGACCCAGATTCTGTCTCAAAAAAAAAAAAAAAAAAAAAAAAAAGTCTCTGAGCTGAGTCTTACTACATGTAAACTATATGTCATCAGTGCTGGTTTTTTAAATAATACAGGGGCCAGTCCGGTGGTTCACGCCTATAATCCCAACACTTTGGAAGGCTGAGGCAGGTGGATCACTTCAGGTCAGGAGTTCAATACCAGCCTGGCCAACAGAGTGAAACCCCATTTCTACTAAAAATACAAAAATTAGCTGGGCGTGAGGGTACATGCCTGTAATCCTAGGTACTTGGGAGTCTGAGGCAAGAGAATTGCTTGAACCGGGAGGTGGAGGTCTCAGTAAGCTGAGATCAGGCTACCACATTCCAGCGTTGGCCACAGAGCATGACTCAGTCTCAAAAAAATTAAATTTAAATTTAAAAATACGAGAAAATGCTCATCAAATGGCAACAGCAGTTGAGTTAGAACAGTGATGCTATATGCGCCTCTACAGTTTCCCCAAGTTATAAAATGTGTTTATATTTTACTCTTTTCATAGAAAGGTGATTTTGAAAATGTTCTCTTTGGAAGCCATGTGTGTTTGAGAAGGTGAGAAATGGGACTCTGGCTCTCATTTCCATTTGTCCACGATCTTGTGGGATTCTTCAAGCAGTGGATTCTCAAAGAGCAAGTGTAAAAGGAACAGAGGCTGGTGGAGACGGATGTCCCATAACCATGCTTTGCTGGCAGGGTGCCCCCACCACACTCTTTCTGGGCCCCACACTCTCTACCATGAAGATCCTGGATGCTTCTTGGGCTGCCCCCTCTGCCTGTCAGCAGGTTCAGGTTTGTGTAAAGAAAGAAAATCAATCGTAATGTGAGCTCAAGAAAAAGATAAGGCCAGGCACAGTGATCCATGCCTAGAATCCCAGCACTCTGGGAGGTGGGAGGATTGCTTGCATACACAAGTTCAAGACCAGCCTAGGCAACATAGTGAAACCCATCTCTACTAAAAATAAAAATTAAAACAAAATAGCGGGGTGGCACACACCTGTAGTCCCAGCTACTAGGGAGACTGAGGTGGGAGGATCACTTGAGCCAGGCACGTGGCTGCAGTGAGCCATGATCGTGCCACTGCACTCCAGCCTGGGCGACAATGTCTAAAAACAAAAAAGAAAAAAGAAAAAGAAAAAGAGCTAACTAGAAAAGTAAACCCACTACCAGAAAAAAAAAAATAAATAAATAAGTAACTTTTAAAGGGATGTGTCACTGCTCCTTCAGTACAAAACCAAACTTTTCTCTGTATTTAGAAGACAGAGATAGTAGATCTGATATCAGAGATAGTAGATCTCCACTGATCTGCAAATTGACTGATTTCTATACAAAGATGCACGTTTGGAGCAAATGAAAGAAGAAACAGAATTAAGTCAATAAGTCTTAAGAGCTCTGCCGCTCACCAAGAAAGACTGGGCCACCACACCGAGTGATTTACAGGAAGACGGTTCCTGGGTTCACCGGCTGCCAGTACGGTTCTAGGAGCACATCCATGGCCCTGGAGGCCACTCACATCACTCTGCCTACACCCACTGGGCCAGAGGTGTGACAATGTCTCAAAAGGCTCCTGTCCTCCCACCATGAAGCAGCATCCTCTCCCAGAGGCCGCGGTGCTGAACAGGAGTGGCATTACAGTGACCCCAGGAACTCCTGGCCTTCGCAGTCTAAACGGTGGGAGCCATACAAGGGGCCAGCTTCCTGGATGCTTCTGGCCTCTCTTCGAAGGTCCTGTCGTCTATCAAGATACTCACTTTTGAGACGCGGGCACTGTGGGGCTCCAGTGCATAGCTCAGCCGGGTAAGGTGCGACCACCACTCAGACTCTGCTTGGACCTGGGTGCACTGGGTGGGCAAGGCTTTAGAAGCACTCCTGTGCCTGGAGAGGGACTCCCGGGGGCTCAGGGAGGAGGGGCTCCAGGGAAGAAGGAGCCAGGTGGGTGGCAGAGGGTGAGAGGCAGTGTGTGTTGGGGGAGGGGGTGCTGACATGGCTGCTGGGTTGCTGTTTGAACAGCCAGCAGGTGGACCCAGGGGAAGTCCACCAGGGCGGCCGGCGCCACTTTGAAGACCAAGCTGGAGCTCAACAGGGGCTCTCTAGGGAAGGGAAGGCAAGGAGGAACCCAACCACCCAGTGGGTGGAGAGGAACCGTGATGTTCACTACTTCTCTAGAAATAACTGCTTGCCATCCGTCCCGGAACACAAGTGACCATCCTAAAAAGCATTTCTGAAATCTAAGAGTAACTAAGTTGTTTATTTATTCCCCCATTAAAAACCTTGTTTAGGTTTACGCTGTGCTCAGGTGATCATACTTCCCATTCATGCAGACCATCCTGGTAGAATGATTAAAAGTCCCTTTTGCTCTCAGAGGTTTTAGGGAGGAATGGAAATTACCCTAGAAACTCCAGAATCAGTAGGTGACTCTACGCAACAGCACAGTCCCAGGCTGACTTCAGTTAAATCTATTGTTTCAAACTTAGCTCCAGACTGAAGGGTCTCCAGCAGGTAAAATGAGTACAAAACACCTGTAGTTCCAATAAGAGGGGACAGCATTTGCTTTGACCTTAGCCTTGAGAGTGGTGAGGGCATCACCATGGACAGAAACTGACCGGGGGTAATGGCCAAGGCCAGCATCTCAGAGGCCACCCCCAGCGTGGCTGCAGTCTGGGCTGGCCGTGGGCACACACGCTGCCAGCTGCCTAGGCCTTCAGGAATTCCAGACACAGGTCCCGACGATCAGTTACTTGGGCTCTGCTTGGAGAGCCCAGACTCGCAAGACTTGGAAATGGCCCCTTACCCAACAGGTGCTGCCACGGGGGCCTCTCTGATGCCGGGCCAGGCCAGGCCAGATATCTGGTTTTGGCAAAGCCAAGAGGGTGGGGCTCGGAGCAGCTGGGTGAAGAGCAGTGGGTTTCTGCAAGTTCTTTTGTCCCTTTCACTCTTAAGGAACTCCCCACAAAGCCACAGTCTTTTTCTGCAAACATATCTGTGAAGGATGTGAAGCCCCAGTACACTTAGCTGCCTTTACCATCCTGGCGGAAGAGGACGCTGCCACCCCTGCGGGCCCTGCAGAGAGCTGCCCTGCCTGGCTCCCTGCTGACACTCCCCGGCAGCGTCCCCAGTGGCTCCTCTCCACCCAGCCCTCACAGGGCCCATAATGGGTTCAACAGTGGCTCCCCGAAATTCACACCCACCTACAGCCCTTAAGAGAGGATCCTTGCAGATGGCATCAAGTTAAGGTGAGGTCATGCTGGATTGGGGAAGCCTAAATCCAATGACTGGTGGCCTTATGTAGAGAGGACACAGAGACATGGGGAGAAGACAGGCAGAGACTGGAGGGACGCAGCCACAAGCCAAGGGACACAAAAGCCAGCTGTGCCGGCCGCCACCAGAGGCTGCGGAGAGGCCCGGGACAGAGTCTCCCTCCAGGTGTCCAGAAGGAGCCAGCCCTGCTGCCACCTTGATCCTGGATGTCTGGACTCCACCACTGTGGGAGGGCACATTTCTGACCTGAAAGCCACTGGGGTTGGTGGTGGTTTACGAGGGCAGCACAGGGCCGGGACACTCCCATGCGGTGCTGGGACACTCCCATGCAACACTGGGACACTCTCCCGAGACACTCCCATGCGGCCCAGGGACACTCACTCACAGCCCATTGCAGACTCCTCCCTCACTCCACTTTATCTGCCCACCTGGGATTAGGGACAACCAGGTGCATTTTACAAAGCCTCAATCATACTGACCAACAGGACAGATAAAAACCTTCCAAATCTGTGAAGAATCTTACACTATGGAGCTACTAATATTTTGGATTACGCTGCATTTATAAACAAGGAAACAAGGGTCACATGAGAATCAGGTCATTTGGCTAGGGGGTGAGGAGAGTCAATATTTATTTCTCCCCCTTGAGCAAGAATCTTCATGGCAACCACTGACCATGTGTGCTCCTGGGTAGTGTTAGCTTCTGCCATATGAAATTGATGTTTTGCAGGTCAGAAGACATCAAATATCAGGAAGTTCATATGGTTTCTTCAGGTTTTATGAGGAGGATCTATGCCAAAAAGATCCACAACACGGATGAGAAAGATTTAAAGTTCAACAAGCCCGCTTGGTGGGGAAAGCGGTGTTCCGACCCCAGGTCAGCAGGACAGGCGCTGTGATTTGCTTTTCCAAAGGAATGCTAGATTTGGGCAGATCACTCACATACGTCCACTAGGGCTTTCTTTGAACATGCACACATATGCACACATACACACACACACAGATACGCACCTGTATGTGCACACACACAGATACGCACATGCACACACACACACACATGCACATGCGCACACACATACGCACATGCATGCACACACACAGATACGCACATGCGCACACACAAATACGCACATGCGCACACACATATGCACCTGCATGCACACACACATACGCACATGTGAGCACACACATACGCACATGCATGCACACATACAGATGTGCACATGTGTGCACACATATGCACATGCATGCACACACATACACACATGTGCGCACACACATACGCACATGCATGCACACACAGATGCGCACATGCGCATGTACACAGATATGCACATGTGCACACAGATACACACGTGTGTGCACACAGACACACACATGCGCATGCACACACCCAGATATGCACACGCACACACACACATACACGCGCGTGCACACAGATACGTACATGTACGCACACACACCCAGATATGCACATGCGCACGCACGCACACAGATATGCACTCGCACACACAGATACACACACGTGTTTGCACACAGATACTGACATGCACACACACAGATACACACAAACACACACACACAGAGATACGCACATGCCCGCACACACACCCACAGATACTCCCATGCATGCACGCACACACTCCCCTGAAATCTGGGAGGAGGCCACTGCACGGGGAACAGCAGTGCTGGAGCCAGAGGACAGGGACCAATCCTGATTTCTTCATCTACTTCACTGTGACCTGGGCTCAGTTCCTTCACCTCTCTGTGCTCTGTCTCCTCTGTCCAGAGACAGGGTGAGTACCCCCGCCTCACGGGATCAGGAGGATGAGTCACAGGATGTAGCCCCAAGGGCAGAGCTCAGCAGTTATGCACCACACAGCAACGTTTCAGTCAACGACAGTGGTCCCTGAAGATCTAATGCAGTACTTTTCCTGTATTCCCTGGTCTATGTTTACACGGACAAATACCATGTGTTAAGGGGCCCACTGCATGCAGGACAGGCACATGCTGGACAGGCTGGCAGCCTAGAACAGCAGGCGACACCGCACGGGCTGGGTGCGTAGCAGGCCACGCCATCAAGGTGCAAGGGTGCGCTCTACGGCGCTCCAATAACAAAGACATCGCCCCAGGACACACTTCTCAGAATGCATCTCTGCCTGACTGTGTCAGCTTGTGTTACATCTGCATGCCCAGACTCACCAAGGATGTTTAACAAGCAGAAGGACAGACCTGACTCTCTGCCCCTACTCTCTGCCTCCCAGCAGCTGGCCCCACACAACCCACCTCATCAGCGTGGGGTCAGCACACAGCCAGGGGGCCATAACCCCTCAGGGAGGCACGAGGGAAGGCGGGCCCGGGACCAGGGGCCACCACGTACCGTGGGCGCTGGAGCAGGCCTGCTTCAGCATGGGCTTGTCCATCTTCTTGGCGTAGAAGGCCGCGTACCACACCCGCAGCTCGGTGCCCGGGGGGATGTCCCTGGAGGTGGTGAAGTACACGTCGCTGCCGTGCTGGTAGGCCGTCAGGTTCTGGTGCTCGGCCTCCGCCGCCGGCCGCACCAGCATCATCCAGTTGCAGTCATCCTCGTTGGAGGTATCGAAGCACACAGGGTGTCCGTCCTTCTGGAACACCTGGGGGTGAGTCGGCCCACGAAGAAGCCCGGGAAATGGCAGATGACCCATCTGCGTGTCAGCGTGTGGGGGGTGGTGCTGAGGAACCCATCTACACAGTGCCACGCCAGAGGCCAGAAGGGCTCCGGGACAGGATGCTGAGGTGGGAGGGTCGCAGGGAGACCATGTGGCTTCAACAGGTCAGATTAGTCACAGGCAAAAGGAAGCAGCAGACACAGCCAATGGGTCCATGTGTCACTGGGACACCTGAGTGTGACTCACGGCCCAAGTGCAGAACGCAAGTTCTAATCAGGTTCTAGTGGGCACGGGGACATCGAGGTTCTAGCCCTGGAGCGGATGGGCTTTGAGTGGATACCTGAGCTCTGCTCCTAGTCCAGGTGTCATGGGGACAGACGGCCCACTGGGAACTGGGACACTGAGTTCTACTCCCAGCTCTGCCACAGGCATGCTGGGTTCCTCAGGCTTGACCAGCTGCCTCCCTGGCTATAAAGCAGCACTATTTCTTTTCTTTTTTTTTTTGAGACAGAGTTTTGCTCTTGTTACCCAGGCTGGAGTGCAATGGCGCAATCTTGGCTCACGGCAACCTCCGCCTCCTGGGTTCAAGCAATTCTCCTGCCTCAGCCTCCCCAGCAGCTGAGGCTACAGGCGTGCGCCACCATGCCCAGCTAATTTTTTTGGTGTGTTTTTGGTAGAGACGGGGTTTCACCATATTGACCAGTATGGTCTCGATCTCTTGACCTCGTGATCCACCCGCCTCGGCCTCCCAAAGTGCTGGGATTACAGGCGTGATTCTTTATGGATTAAATGCAGGCAGGCAGTAGGGAGAGAAATTTAAATATTTTGAAGTTCAGATCAACCACCCGAGTATAGGAGGGTTTTGTTCCTTATTTTCTGAATGCCATGATATCTTCCTCACTGTGGGAGGACAGCTCTCCCCTCTCCTAAGCTTTTCCCAGAGAGGCCTCTCTAAGGACAGAGCCCTTGGAAGTGAGAGGCAGGGGTGGGGGACAACCACCCACTTAATGACCCCCAGTTGCTGAGGAAGGGGTGCTCCCAGCAGGCAGCACCCTCGCTCTGGTGGGCATACAGGAGCTCTGGTGGGCATACGCTGGAGCGTGCACTGAGAACAACCCAGTGCCAGGCGGTGACCTTCAGAATCGAGTATCGGAAAAGACCACCAAATGAGCACACTAGTCTTCTTTAAAGGGGCCTGGCCCCAATCACGCACCCACACCAGCTGTGTGCATCAGCCAGACGGGTGCCGCAAAGGACAGGCAGAGAGCCGACGGCCTTTCAGAGGCTGCTTTAGGCACTGCTACGTATTTCTTCAACTTGAAACTTTCCTTCTTTCCCTTCCTTCCTTCTCCTGCCTCCCTCCCTTCTTTCTTTCTCTTTGTAAACAAATAAAGTCTCTTTCCCTTTTTGCTGAAATCTGCCTTCCAAGATCAGTTTTCAAAGGACTTCCAAAAACCCAAGCTTGTTGACGTCCACTGCCTATCTAAAACAAGCGGATCCCTTTTGAGGGTCTCTAAGAGAAGTCTGCTGACTAGCAACCCGTTCCTCCTTCGTTTATTTCACAGATATTTCTGAAGACTGGCTGGCTTGGGTAAGACAGTGAGAGCAGGCATGGGAGCAGTAAAAACCCGCCTCGCCTGGCCTCACAGGCCTTCCAGAGGGCTCATATTTAAAGTATTCCTGTCTTACCATTTACATACATTTCAGTTTTCTTAAACTCACATAAAAGTAGACAACCACTGTCTTCTCTCAGTGTGACGGGCTTTTTAGAGCTGCCAAACTTTGTGTTACGCCCAGCATCTCACCACTGCCTCAACAAACACCTTCCCTTTGAAAGAGCTTTGCAAACTACCAAACACTGTGCACAGGCGTGGAAACAACTAGAGTGACGCAGCCCCACTAGACGCGGCCTCATAAAGCCTGTGACAGCAACAGAAGGTGCGGGACAGCTGGAGTCGCATTCGGGGTTTCTCCTGCATATGTTTTAAACACACTCTGTAATGTTTTGCAAAACTGAAAATTACAAAATACGGCCAGGCGCAGTGGCTCACGCCTGTAATCCCAGCACTTTGGAAGGCCGAGGCAGGTGGATCACCTGAGGTCAGGAGTTTGAGACCTGCCTGGGCAACAGAGTAAAACCCTGTCTCTACTAAAAATACAAAAATTAGCGGGGCATGGTGGCACCTGTAATCCCAGCTACCCAGGACGCTGAGGCAGGAAAATCGATTGAACCAGGAAGGCAGAGGTTGCAGTGAGCTGAGATCGTGCCACTGCACTCCAGCCTGGGCAACAAGAGCAAAACTCCATCTCAAAAGAAAAAAGAAAACGACAAAATACTAACTTAATATTGATGCCCTTGTAATATAAAAACAAACACTTTCTTGGAAACTAAGCAGACCTACAATATTGAGAGCTGTTTTCAAGGCTTTTCTAAATCATGGAAACTCAGTCATCCTTGTCCCCATTCCCGCACAGGGAGGCCATCGACACCAGCTCCTCAGCTCCCGTTTGGCAACGGCCTTACCTTCAGGGGAAACGCGGACTCCTTTTCCCATTTGGCAACCCTCCTGGACTCAAAGGGACCAAACTGTGTCCGCTTGACGAGCTGAGTGACGGCGAACACCCCCTCGGCTCCGTCTTCCAGTCGTCTGATCTCCAAGTTGGGAGGAAGAGATGACCTGGAAATGGAATGAAACGAGGCTCGGAAGAGAGCACTCAGACCAGGGACCTACGTGTTAAGATAACCTAAGAGCTCGCTCCCACTGACCGCCAGGGGTCTTCTGAAATGGAATTCTCCAGGTGATAAAGTAGACGGCTTCCAGGCCAGGTGCGGTGGGAGGATCGCATAAGACCAGGAGTTTGAGACCAGCCCAGCCAACATGGTAAAACCCCGTCTCTACAAAAAGTACAAAAAATTAGCCGGGCATGGTGGTGCGCGCCTGTAGTCCCAGCTATTCTGGAGGCTGAGGCGGGAGGATCACGTGAGCCCAGGAGTTTGAGGCTGCAGTGAGCTGAGACTGGGCCACCACACTGCAGCCTGAGTGACAGCGCAGGACCCTATCTCAAAGAAAAAAAAAACGAAACAAAACGCAGGAGCCTTCCTAATAGTGCCGAATGAGGACTGAGGCTGAGGTTGTGAAGACGCCCTCGGGCTGTGGCAACGGAGCCGTAATCTTGTGGCCTTAGCTACACGCGGCCGACCACAAGGCCCTGGTGAGATTCACCCAGAGCATGCCACGGTGGGGCTGTTCACTGAAGGGCGGGTTTAACTCCCCGTGGGAAAGGCAGTGCCAACAGGTGCTTCCCTGGCGGGGCTGCTATGAGACAGAACAGGGTCAGACTGGTGTGGGGTCCAGCGATGGAGGGCAGACCACAGGGAACATGCTGCTGAGGAGCTGCGTGGAGAGCACCCGAGAAAGACGCCAGTGCCACGGGCGTCCTAAATACCAAAAAGGGTTTCCAGCCAAGTGGAGCGGGTCAGTTTCACAGAGGATGTGACCTCTTAAACTGAAGTGGAAGAATGTCAGGGACGGGGTCTGGGAAGGAAGGTACAGGAGCCAGGACGAGCCCAGGACATGTCCAGGACAGAGGCGGGCATGGGGTGCCTGGCGCACGGGCCCCTGGGACAGAGGCAGGCATGGGGTGCCCGGCGCACGGGCCCCTCAGACAGAGGAGGGCATGGCGTGTCCGGCGCACAGGTCCCTCGGACAGAGGAGGGCATGGGGTGTCCGGCGCACAGGTCCCTCGGACAGAGGCGGGCATGGGGTGCCCGGCACACGGGCCCCTCGGACAGAGATGGGCATGGGGTGCCCAGCGCACAGGCCCCTCGGAGAGAGTAGGGCATTGTATGCCCAGCGCACAGGCCCCTCGGACAGAGGCGGGCATGGGGTGCCCAGTGCACAGGCCCCTCGGCGAGAGGCAGGCATGGGGTGCCCAGCACACAGGCCCCTCAGGGTGGGCAGGAGGCCACTGAGACAAGGATCCAGCACAGGGTCTGACTTCAGGACCAGGGGTTCCAGCTGAATATTCGTGGGCGACAGGCAGCCCCTGAGGCTCCAGGGAAGAGGGGGTGGATGCGCTCTCTACTTGAGGCCAAAACATTAATCTCTTTGTTTTGAGTCACACTAAGAAAAAAATAAACGAACGGTGTTGAGGACAGTTGGGAGGCTCCTGGAAACAGTCCTGAAGAGATGGCGACCACCTTTGCAGCAGCAACACACACCAGGTACTGCCACCTACAACGCCACGGCCACCGCGCGGGAGTCAGCATTCTCTCCCCTTTAGAGGCCACCGAGGAATGGAGTGCGCCTTGTCCAAGCCCATCTGCCCTGGACTGCCCTGGGCACAGCCTCCCGCGGGTGAGGGTGGAACGGCAGGGCAGCTGCTGCCCACTGAGCCAACAGGCCTGCACGGGCTGCTTCCGGAAGCTGCTGGGGGTCATCCCTGTCCCTGTCCTCATGACCCCGCATGCCCTCCCGCCTGAGTGTGCACGTGTCCGCTGGCAGGCCAAGACCTGGAATGCACAGAAGCCGACGAGCAGACCTCAGCTTGGCCGCTGGTGCTCGGCACACCGACCCCTTTGGCCAGTCCACTCTCCTGCAGCCTCCACATTGAGTCAGGAACAGCCGGGCTCCCAAGAACCCTGAAGCGGATCAAAGAAACTCACTCTGGAGCTGTGAAGCAAGGGTTCTGCTGCATCCCAGCAGAGAGGCTGCTCAGTTCACGGTGGGAGGGAAATCGCTGGCACTCACTTGGAGTGCCTCGTTCTCCCTCGTGTTCCTTCCTCCCTGTCTGCAGACACAAAGTCTGCTACGCTCCTGCGGAGTCACAGCTGGCATAATGACAGGCCCGGGACCATGGAAGCAGCTCACGGCGGTCACTCACCTTGCCCTGCTTAACACAAAGGAGTCTTTGACCATGACCACTGGGCCCAGCTCGGGACATTCGGAGTCGTGGTACTGGCTGCAGTCTTCACACCCTGCAAGCAGACATCCGGGCATCAGAGTACCCAGGGAGGGAGACACCCAAAGAACACAAAGCTGGGAAATGGGGACCCGGGCCCCGTGAGGGTGACCTAGAGTCAAAGACGCATGCCGACACTGTAAAGACAAGCAAGGGAGGGGGCATTGGATGGCACGAGGCCTGTGTCCCCAAGGCCTCCATCAACACACACACACATGAGGAGTGCAAACGCAGGACACACGCCCAGGGAACGCTCCAGCCCCACCACACACCTCAAATCAAGCACGGTCACCCCACGGTGACGCAAAGCAAGACCCTCCCCAAAGAATGAGCACAAGTGAAAACAGCCAGCGTTAACAGGTTCACGATAAATCTGACGCGATTCCCTCCTGCTCAGCCCTGGATTACTTTTCTGGACCATGTACTGCCCCCTGCAATGTGCCCTCCGCCAGCAGTTCTGAGAAAGGTGATCCTGTTAAAACCACACCCCTATAGTGCACTGCGCATGAAATAAATCGTGTTTCACAGGGAAACTGTAAATCCATAGTTTTTCTATATTATAAAAACCAAATGTGGATGTGGCTTTCCCCAGACAGCAAGTGCCATGCCCGTGTGGTGCCATGACACAGGGTTGGTCTCGGACAGGTCCGTGGGTCACTTACAGATGAACATGATCTCTTCACTCCCATCTTCGGCCATCGCTGACACCTGTCAGGACACAAGAGAGTCTCATTAATGACAAGCTCATACCAAAATAATTGTGTTGTTTTTTTTTTCTTTGAGATTGAGCTCCCTCCGTCACCCAGGCTGGAGTGCAGTGGAACAGTCTCGGCTCATTGCAACCTCTGCCTCCCAAGTTCAAGGGATTCTCCTGCCTTAGCCTCCCAGCTAGCTGGGACTCCAGGTGCCCGCCACTATACCCAGCTAATTTTTGTATTTTTAGGAGAGACAGGGTTTTACCATATTGGGCAAGCTCGTCTCGAACTCCTGGCCTCCAGTGATTCACCTGCCTGGGCCTCCGGAGGTGCTGGCATTACAGATGTGAGCCACTGTGCCCAGCCTCTTACCAAAATAATGCTTAAGACAACTCATACCAAGGCCGCCTTCAGCTAGTGTAGGGCAACTACGTGGTGCTTTACCGAGAGCACAGAGTGAGGTCTCCTCTTATTACGGGATAGGGCTGGGGTCACTGAAACACCTTCTCACCTCAAATAATATTATTTTTAATAAAAGCAATGGATTTGAGTGGCCTCATAAACTCAGACTTTCATCTTTTCCTATTAGCCATCAATTTCCATTTTTAAAACAAATATATCAGCTTTTTTGCCGACAGGGTCTTGCTCTGCCTCCCAGGCTGGAGTGCAGTGGTGTGATCACGGCTCACTACAGCCTCTGCCTGCTGGGCTCAAGCAACCCTCCTGCCTCAGCCTCCCAAGTAGCTGGGTCTATGGGTGCAGGCCACTACACCCCGCTAACGTTTTGTAGAGACAGGGTGTCACTATAGCTCCAGCTGGTCCCAAACCTCTGGGCTCAATCGATCCTCCAACCTCAGTCTTCCAAAGTGCTGGGATTATAGCACAAGCCATCGTGCCCACCTATGTCACCATTTTAAAAAGCCAGCTGTCACTTTTTTTCCCCTTACTCACTGAGCCGTGACTTCCTCAAGGGCAGGTATGTCTAATGCAACCTTTTCTCTTCAGCTCCTACCATATGCCTGGTGCCCCATACACTCATTTCTCTGGGGACTAAATCAACATGTGGCATCGTGGAGGACTCTCGTGCTCCCACATAAACTCCAGCAATTATCAGATCCAGCAATTCTATTTCCTATCCATCCTTGAGGTTCACCTCCAGAAACACTTGCACATTGGGTAGATGAGCTCAAACTGACCATCCCAACCACACACACATATTCACAGGGTGATCTAGACGTTATTCATTCTGGGACTTCACATTCCTGGGCTGTAAAATGGAAATAAAAACACCCACCGCATGCAGTTTGGGGGAACGTAAAGTGAGATACACACAGTATGTATCATTCCTCCTCTGCCCACCCCCATCCCCAACTGTGCCCACCGGCACTTCCTTCCTGCATCCTGCTTCTCTGATGCCCGCTGCTGGGTGGTTTAGGAAAGCGTGCACGCTGCCACTTCCTGAATGCTGATTCCAACACACTCTCCACCCAACTCATCCCCCGGGGCTTGCAGGGTGAAAAGCGGACCATGCAAAGCCTACCTGGAAATTCAGTCACTGAGCATGCGTGTGTGAGAGCAGCGTGGGGTGGAAAACTTCAAGTTAGGAGAGTGAGTTAGCTATAAGGAAGTGAGGCAGAGGAGACAGAGTGCCAATTTGCCCTTAAGACGCCAGAGATAACCAGGGTGAAATTTCCTCCGCAAACAGCAGTGTATCTTCTCTTCCTGGGAGCGCACATTTACACTCAAAGGCGTCTCGTGCAGCCCTGGCAAGTCTCACTCAGTTTCACAGCAGCATTCTGCCTCACCTGCCGCCGTTCCTGTGGGTAAACACCTCTGCGTGAATAGGGACCAGTCTGGGATGGGGTTCAGTTGGGCCGTGAGCGGGAGATGAATAGGAACAAAGGGCAGAAGAAACGCTGGGTCGGATGGGGGGGGCACGCTTTCATGAGTTCCTGCTGTGCTACAGGAGGTCTAGGACCCGTGTGCCCCCTGCAGGAACCCTCGACACTCACAGTCCGGAGCTCGGGCAATGGGAACGGCAGACCTTAAGAGGCGACCCACACTGTGGTCAGATCACCGCAGAATACAGAGTCCCAACAAAGTGACTGGAATCGGAGTGGGAGGACGGAGGGAAGTCATCGTGGCCTTGCTTACCAGGAGGCCTGGATGAAACCCCTGAGGCCTGGCCTGGCCGCCTCTCCCGGGAGCAGACCCTGCCTCTGGCCTGCACCTCTCACAGACTGCCCACACCTCCAGGTGCCTTCAAAGAAGGTCCCCTCTGAGTGGAGCTGCTGGGAGAGGAAACCCAGAAAAGAGGGGCGGGGGAAGCAGGAGAGCGGGGTTTCAGCCTCCTGTGCTCACTCTGATTGTATGTAAACAACTGAGTCCTGGCAATAAGGGTCCTGATTAGCAGCATCTGGTCCCCAAAATGTGGCCTCTCTAAAACCACTCCTCAAGGGCCAGTATCAGAGACCACAGCCACCCTGGGCTGCAGATCAGGCCTGAGTCATGGAGCATCTTCAAAGTCTGCTGTCTTGGCAAAAATCCCTTTAACACTCAGAAAGTGTCTTTATAGAGGGGAAGTGTGGTCTCCAGACATCTAAAGCACTCAAGACATCCCAGAGTAAGGCACTCAGGAAGTACTGTTTCAGGAAAAAGGAGAGGAAAAAAGAACTCGAAGTTCAAGATACCAGCCAGGCGTGGAGCTGTAATCCCAGCACTTTGAGAGGCAGGGGCAGGTGGATCACTTCAGGTCAGGAGTTCAAGAACTGCCTGGACAACATGGTGAAACCCCATCTCTACTAAAAGTACAAAAACAAGCCGAGCATGGTGGCGTGTGCCCATAATCCCAGCTACGTGGAAGGCTGAGGCAGGAGAATCGCATGAAACCAGGAGGCGGAGGTTGCAGTGAGCTGAAATTGTGCCGCTGCACTCCAGCCTGGGCAACAAAGTGAGACTGCATCTCAAAAACAAAAGTGCAAGATCCCCTAGCTTAACCACCAGTCCTGGGAAGACTTACCTTACATCAGTGATTGCAACATGAGGTCCCTGGATCAGGAACCAGCAGTGACAGCATTGCTTGGGAGCATCTCAGAAATGCAATCCTTGCCCCCCACCCACAGACCTGCTGAACCAGCTTCTGCCAAGGACTCTGCTTGCAAAGCCCTCTGGGAGGTTCGGTGCAGCCCAAGTCTGAGAACCATGACTTTGCCTGAAATCTCTTTAAAATTTATACGTCTGCTATGACAAAAACTAACCAAGCACAACCGCTATCACAGGAAGACCACAGGAGTAACATCAGGAAACCCAACTTATCACAAATGTCAATTCAGCTCAGCCCAGGACCATCTGCATCTAACCTGGTGGTAAACGGGAAATGACGGGTGACTGCAGGCAAATGTTCCTTACACGGAATGCTCAGTGAAGACAACTGCTAAAAACAACTTTGAAAAAGAAGCCTGAAGCGAGAGAATCAGTCTACCTGACTTCAAGCTTAATTATCAAGCTACCGTAATGAAAACTTTGAAACCGGTGAGACGGTGGACAGAGATCAATGAAACAGAACAGACAACCCAGAAACAGACCTAAACAAACACACCCAAGGCTTTTTTTTGAGACAGAGTCTTCCTCTGTCACCAGGCTGGAGTGCAGTGGCAGGATCTCGGCTCACTGCAACTTCCACCTCCTGGCTTCAAGTGATTCTCTGGCCTTAGCCTCCCAAGTAGCTGGGACTACAGGCGCATGCCACCATGCCAGACTAATTTTGTATTTTTAGTAGAGATGGGGTTTCACCATGCTGGCCAGGATGGTCTCGATCTCTTGACCTCGTGATCTGCTCACCTCAGCCTCCCCAAGGGCTGGGATTACAGGAGTGAGCCACTGCACGCAGCCTGCATTTTTTACAAAGACAAAGTAATCCAAGTGAGGAAGGGCAGCCATTTCAACAGATGGCACTGGAGCAACGGGGCACCCACAGGGAAAATATGAGCCATAACTTCCTAACTCATTAGAAAATTAACTCGAAATGGATCATAGCTTGAACATATAAAATTATCAAACAATAACAGAACTTAGAAAAACAGAAAAATCTTTGGGCCGTAGGGTTAGCCACAGTTTTAAACTTGTCACCAAAACTGCAATCTATAAAAGGAAAACCATTTGCATCTTCAAAGGCAGCAGCCAACCCAAAAATCAACATGTCAAAAGTAAACCTCTGGGCTGTCCTGGCTGCCCTGACGATGTCACTCTGCCCCCACCTCCTCCATCTTGGGAAGTGGTTGTCAGAGAGACCTGGAATCCCGGGGACCTCTCTAGCCTCCCTCTCACATCCCCCATCACACCCACTCCACCTGCAGCCCCCGTTACTACTTCCCTTGGCCACAGCCCACTTTCTCCACCTGTAAGGCTGCAAAGGTCTCCAGATAACTCTTCCTCCTCTGCCCAGGCTGCCAACCCATTTTCCACATAGCAGAGAACATAAATCCAATCACATGGCTTGCCAGCCTCAAGCATCATCGGCTTCCCATTGTCCCAGGAACAAAACCCAAACTCCTGCACACGACCAGGCGCTGCCTTTCTTGGCAGCCTTCTCACCGCCCCTCACCCACCCCCTCTCCAGCCACACTTCCAGGAACCGCCAAGCTGGGTCCTGCTTCCGGGCCTTTGCATGTACTCGCCCCCTGGCTGGAACCCACTCCAGCGCTCTCTGCGAAGCCTGCTCACTCCTCAGTCTTAGCTTGACATCACTTCCTGAGGCCGGTGGGGGGGGTCTCCCTGATCCACCTGTCCAAAGCGCTGCGTGCTTTCTAAAAGCACTCTGTGATTTCCTCCGCAGCTGTCGCCATGCAGCCATGGCTGTGTGTTACTGATCTCGTGTCTCTCCCGCCACACATCAAGGGCCAAGAGGGCAAGACCTGTGGCAGCCTTGCACAGCAGAATATACTTGGACCCAGCGGGCACGGTGGCTCACGCCTGTAATCCCAGCACCTTGGGAGGCCGAGGCAGGCAGACCGT